TCTGCCGAGTCCTACACAACGCACATCCAAGTCACCACGTCCCTAACATCTCAGAATGTGTCTGCCTGCTTCCGAAAAGGAGTTGAAGGTGACAGGGTCGTGTGGATGGTATTAGTTTGGTACCTAGTCTGGCAAGAATAAGCAACGAAAACGCAACCCAGCCTTGCTAACCCCGTCGAGGGTGTAACCCCTCCCCATCCAGAAAGTTTCCAGAAAAGCAACAACCACGTGTGACGATGATTCGAAGGATATGATTCCCAGAATTCTGCCAGCGCACAATACTCCGTACACCACGAACTGGACATGTCTCTCTACCCAGTATCCGTAATCTCGGCCATGTATCGCGGCATCGCCGGTTCCTGGAACCCGCGGATGAAATGCTTTCCCACTCTTTTTCCCTTCCTTTGGAATGCAGAATGCCGAATGCAGAAATGTCAAAAGGCAGAAAGGGAAAGGTACAAGAGTTGAGAGACAAGTAATGAAATGAAACGTCTGAGATTGGAAGGTTTCAAGTCAGGCGTCCCGTAATCTCTTCAAAAGAACTCGAGAAGACTCGTTCCCTGCAACCCGCGATGTTCATCAACGTCGACCCATCTCCGACAATGTTGCCTGAATAATACCCTTTTCTTACTTCCTTCAGCGCCTTACCTTGTCTCGCCCTGCCCTCGACAAAAAGGCCCTCTCGTTGCTTCTTCCGAGATACCAAGACTAATCCAATTTTTTAAACTTTTTTGACCCCTTCACTTCCAAGTTCCGGCTCCTCCCCGGCTCGTCGTCCCTTCACTCATGTCCATCCGGCTCTGCAACTCCCTCTTACCCGGCCGATGATGCCGGAGAATTATCGATATCGAAATGGGGCGTTCACGTCAGAATCACATAGTTCGTCCGTAGTTTTCGATGACCAGCCCATCCGTCGACCGTAATCGGCGAGACTTTTACCAAGATCTGCCCCGGCAATACGGAAAAGCAAAACGAACTCGACCGTTACACGTAGTTCGCTGGGCTGGGATGCATGGATAGGGACTTTTCAATTTCCAGCCCAACCCTGTGATCCACTCTCTCCCGAAAACGAGGTTCTCTCTCTCCCTTTTAGCCCCGGCCCTGACCCTTACGCAAGGCACGGGACGATCCCCCCTTCGGGCTCCGGGGGCCATCTTGCTGGTTGCTACCCTGTGTTGCGAAACATCGGATGACACGCCGGCCGTACCGAGGTCGGTCGAGTTCTAGATTTGGACCTGCGTGGGGGGAACTTCCGAATGGTACAGGATGAGGAAGATGAGTGTCCATACTCGAAACAGGATCACCAGAGTCGTGAGGTCATCTATCGATGAATAAATTTGACGTCTTGATCTCTCATGGACCGGTGCTGACATCTCTGATGGTAGGCTTTGTCAAAGAAGGGTTGGGCCTGGGAAGGCATCTATCTACGCGGTGGAAATATGACAGATCCGGCATTGAGCTTTCCTACAATCCGTGGAGTCTGTCATCCTTCCACCGCGTCGCATCTATTATTGAGTTACAATCTACCCGTCCTTGACGTGACCCGTATCGTCTTCTCTCATCGGTTTGAGGTCTCTTGTTGGAGACGGACAGAAGGGGTGAGTCGGGCGCAATGAAGGGCAAGAAAGACTGGTAACTGGAGGACTGAAGCTGCGATGAATAATCATATATATCTACTCACGAGTGTCAGCGTCTGAACACAGCAGGCTTGTGCTACACTGACTACGTTTTCGACTCTCTATGGAAGATGCCCCGAACGGCCATTTCCCTACTCATGGTTATACTTGGGTGCGACGTACAACGGAATCATTACCTTTCACAGAAGTCATACACGTTGCTCGCACGTGCATGAACAGTCTTGTTTACGATCATCAGAAGAGAGCCGTCGGCAAGTTCTCGTGTCACCCATTTTCGGGGGTATAGGTTCCCTTCACATCATTCCTCGATCGCAGCTGATTGTTTTCCATGCAGTCTAGACTGGCAGCTTCGCCAGAGGATATCTTCCAAGGCATTTCTGTAAGGTGACTGGAGCCTGATTGAAGGCATTCTCAACTGGATTAAGCTGTCAGTTTGAACGATTCGGTATGGCGTTCGGCACTGAAGGTTACCCAGGTCTTGGCATGTTGACGTCTGCCAATGCCTCAGGAAGAAGCATCCATTTCCCGCCCACTACGACTAGCCAGTCATCCATGCTTGCAAACTTACACCACGACTAAATGTGGTATCACAGGTATCGCGCAGTGTCTGGGCGCACGTAGTGGTGCCACATACCCCAGATATCTCTCGGGCGTAGGGCTGACAAGATCGGCAAGATCTGCTCCGCCCGGGGCGAAAAACGCCTCCCCGAAAGCCTCCTCGAGAGCCTCCTCTATCCAGATCTCCAAATCTCCAAATCTCTAGATAAAAGCTTAAAGACAAAATTGCACATGAGAATTCCACGGGCTACAACACATTTTCAGGTCTTTTCTTGTACTCTTTCTCAACGTTATCATAATCAATAGAAACCATCTGTCCAGAATGAAACTCCCCATCGTAGGCCTCCTATTCTCACGCGCTTCTGCGCCCTTTAGTTATTGGAACGATCGCGCTCAAACATTCAGAGCATCACCGCCCACCGTATTCGATAATCAGTCCATCGAGATTCTCCAACAGGCAATAGCAGAGCCCAACACCACACGCCAAATATCGTTCCGCCCCTTTGAGGTCTTCTCAGGCAACGCCCGGCTGCTCGGACAAGACGAATGGACATGGCGTACGATTCTACTTCCCTCTTCCCAATACTTGAAGTGCTTATATAGACTTACATCTCACCACCAGGCGTAAACATATCCGACCTCAGTCTCCCCCACCTCGCCCAAAACACCACAGAAGCCGCCCTAGGCCGAAACATCACCGACCCGCACTACATCGCCACCTCCTACTCCCTATCCTGGCCCCTCGGAGGAAACCTCTCATCCGGCGGTCTCCGCGGCTCTGATTCTCCCTTTTGCGTAACATCCCTAGACGTCGAGTTCTCTCCCAACGTCACAAACCTCTGGACCGAGGAGAATGGCAACAGCACGGACTGCGAACCCGTCCTAGGCGAAGCGTGCCTCGAAGCCCTCCACGCCTTCGATAAATCCCTCACGCGAGATAGCTGCGACGGAAGAATGCCCTCGTGGAAGACGATCCCGGAGTGTAATACTACGTTCGGGTATGGTGCTGTGATTTACGGAGCTAGGACGAGTAACCTCAACCCCAACGTTACGAGTAATTCTACCTCGACTACGGGGGAGATCACGCCGCCGGTTATGAGTGGGAGTGAGATTTTGGGGTTCGGGAGCGGGTTGGTTGATGGCGGGGACGCGAGGGAGGCGTATTTGAACGCTTCGAACCGCGTGCAGATTCTGATTTTCAATACGTGGGTTGGGGAGGAGCGGTTCAATGTCAAGCTGGCGAGGCCGAATATTCATTGTATGAGGGTGAATTCGACTCGGGTTGCGACGAGCAGCGCATTTGGCTCGGTTTCTTTGAATTGGGGGCTCTTGTTGGGTGCTGCTACGGTGAGCATGTACATATTGCTAGTTTAGCTTGGAGAGACATGAGAATTCAGAAGTTTACTTGGAAGACGAGTGAATCAGACTTATCTAATTTAAACGCTTAAAATCACGTACGGTATTTCCGCTCCTCCACTAATCTTCTCTAGAGGTTACCTCTCGTTCGATGTTGAAACTCAGACGGAAGAGGTGCCGCGAGAGAAAGTCCTAGGCAATAGTAGAAAAGGAGCAAGATTTAATACGGAAAATTCAACATTGAACTGCATAGAAAGCTCTACACTCTTGATCGGTTTCCACGATGTACATCTACCGCGAGACCAAGATCCGAAAAGGCAAAAGAGTTCACCCCCCCGGTGGCGAACGGGGGCTACATCTCTGGCGCTCATATATATCTACGGTATATATATATATATATATATATCGGGAATTTTTTTTCGACTTGAACTCGGGACCTCTGAGCCTTCACCGATTAGGCTGTTCGTGGACTTCAACCACTCCACCACCCAGCCAGTTTTGACCTGACCCCCGAAGAGGGCGCCCGCTGGCTGGTGACAGGAATGGGATTGAGGGGGGGTATATACCCTTTCCTGTATTCCGATGGAAGGTACGCTTGGGAAGAAGGGATACGTGGTTGCTCTTTCCCCTGGTTCATCCATCGCGTCTTGGAAAGGTCGCTTCTCCTACCTTACAAGGAGCTCAGTGAAGGTCGTACACACAGCACGCCGCGGCTGATATTGGAGTACAAGCCGCAGCTAGTCTCTTCGACGATATGAAACATCACGTCTACGACGATTATTGTTACATACCAACTTATATCGTTCGCGTCACACCGAGGACAGACCACTGATATACATCCAGGCCGTTACTTGTTGCCCCCGGGACTATCCGTATCCTCCGAGCCGACAGGCCCTCCGGCCCCGGCGCCGCAACCTCCGGGCTGTCGTCTCCCAAAGTTCGTCCCGGGCCGCACGAAACCCCGCCAGGACCCCGCCGCCTCACCTTACCACCTACTTACCTGATCTCAGTAGGGAAGACCATTCTGCCTCGCCCGGACTACCTCGAACTAAAATTGGCAAGTAATGCAGCCAAGGAACCCTCATCGTCCTAAACGAATCATCGTAACCCCGGGTTTTCGAGAACCTCAGCCTCACTGCACAAACACGACCCGAGACCGAAACCGAACGAGACTCACCCTTGGGCAATCGCAGCTACAGCCACTCTACCCTTCCCCCCTTTTCTACGGCTTCAAGGTGATACGCAAATCGCCTGTGCAGAATCAAGCAAAGATAAGGTCGCTATAATCAAATAGTTTCGTTAGGGAAAACCGATAGGGAAGAGAAGACCGATTTCGCTCGCCAAGGACCTTGTGTGTGACGTAACATTGATTAGATCTTCAGCTTCCTGTAATAACCTCAAGTCAGGAAATAAACCGAGCGTCAGAAAGCAATAGTGCATCAAAGGAGACGTTAATGAATAATTATATATGCTAAACGCCAAACATCGGCTGTATGAGCCATGTCAACCTGCCCTCAGATGAGACATTGACATGAATGCTTGAAATCCAGCCCCTCATCAGAGCCATTCTTATTCCGTGGACCTGTGGGGGGAGAAGGAGAATATGAGTGACCTCCCTATCAAACAAAGGAGCCTCCCATCCAATGGAGGAAATTCGACTACCGTTTGTCCAGAACGCCTGTTGTGGCTTTCCCCCATTCTCTTCCTTCTTCGTGAGCCTTTTCTTTCCTGTTCCGTATAGATCAAACATCCCGTTGTCGGTTGATGCCGTACAAGTACACAGAGTTGTACCTCGTCGTCGTCTCTTCATCCTCTGTTCGTGGTCGTCGTTGCGGTCGACACAGGAACCCAGCCCGGACCGCTCGTGTTACATCAAGTTGTTGTATTGGGTCATGACTTGCCGCCTACATGACGGAGCACTCGCCCTCTTGTTGCTTGCCGATCTTGCTGCGAGAAATACGCTCGCGCTGCCGGGGTCCGTTTTTGCCGGCGCGCTTAAGGTCTTCGAGCCGTTCACGTGCCTTGGGGAAATCTTGGGCTGTGAAATGGGTCAGCAAACATCACAAACATCACAAACATACAAGCAATTGCAACTTACCAGCTGCTCTCCAGTACCATCGCTTTGCATCCTCCATGTTGGCTGGCACACCAATGCCCACCTCGGTAAAGTAACCCATCGCGTACTCAGCCTTAGCCAGACCGGCCGTGGCAGCCTTGCGCGCCCACAGGTAAGCCTCGGTATCGCTCTGTTGCAAGACATTATCGGTGCCAGTAAGGTACCATCCACTGAGTGACAGCTCAGACTGGTGCTCGCCTTGCTGAGCTGCGCGGGAGTACCACATAATGGACTGGCGGGGGTCAACCGGGCAGCCCATCAGACCATACTCGAAGGCGCAACCGAGACGATATTGTGAAAATTTGTAGCCGAGGTCAGCCGCCTCTCGGAACAGCTGGAAGGCATAAGCTTCGTCCTTAATAATGGCATCGTTAGGGGCTGCAGATTCGTAGAGCAGACCCAATTCATGCAATGCGTGAGGATTCTCAGCGTCAGCTCTTTCCGCAGCTCTCTTGAGCCACCCTACAGCTTCGCGAGGATTCTTCGGCTGGCCAAGAAGCCCCTTGAGCAAGATCATACCAACCTTGTACATGGCTGGCGTATCGCCGAGCGTTGCAGCTCTCTTATACCATTGAATCGCCTTGAGGGGATCCTTTCTTGTGCCGCCACCTTCTTCGTGGCCAATCTCACAGCAGACTGCCGTTCTGTACGCCGCAGCCGCATGTCCGAGCTTAGCAGCCGACTGGTACAATGTGAAAGCCTCCTTGTTATCAGGCTCCAGTCCAAACAAGCCACGGCCTAGGCAGTCGGCATAAAAGAACATTGCTTCAGAGTTTTGCGCGCTCGACAACTTCTTGAGGATCTTGTTTGCGTCGGCAAGATATCTCTCCCGGGCACGAGTCTTCATCTTCGGATCGGCAAGATTCGGGGCCAGAACATCGGCCGCCTCCACTAGTCGCTTCGCCAGCCTCATGGCAGTCTCTTGATCATTCGGTGTTGACTTGACAACCTGGCGTAAACGCTCTAGCTCTTCCTGGGTAACGGGTGTTGTTTCTTGAAGCGAAGCCTTGCTGGGCTGCTGAGGGAGCATTTGTTGCTGAGGCGGAGGTGCGCCGCCAGGCCCGGCAGGAGGTGTCGGTACGTTGACGCCAGGAGCGCCGGCATAGTTGCGAACAGGCGCGGGCTTGTCATTCATATTGACCATGGAATTCGGCATGTGGCCAGGTCGGACGGGGGCCGGATGAGATGGCAGAGAATCGGGGCCTCGATTAGGAGAAGGGCCTTGGGGCAAACCAGGACGCCCCATCTGCGGGTTCTGTGGTTGGTCCCAGCCGTTGGGTTGGTTATACGCGTCCTGGTAGCCGTTACCCATTGGCGGCATCGGAGGAGCGTCACCGGCCATCTCAAACACAGCCTGCTGCGACTGTCGTAGATCTGGCTGCGATTTGGTCCGACTCATCTCCGGAACGCGCTTAGCGCCCGGCTGCGTGTGTTCGGCAATGCCTGGACGCATGTGCTGTTCGAAAGAACCGCGAGGAGCATGCGATGGTGCCCCATTGTACTCGGGAGCATCATGGTGCCCATAATTGTGGGCGCTTTGATTACTCATGCGAGAAGGTTGGTAATAGGCGTCGTAGACATCGCCGAATGACGCTCTAGTATCTCGGTATCCGTCCTGATCGCCTCCGAACTCTCCAGGTCCCCCATAACCTGCATTCTGAGGCGGAGGCAGTTGCTGCTGCTGCTGCTGTTGCGGCGGCGGAGGCATCGGGTTTGGGGGATACATGCGCTGCGGTGGCGGCCGATTTCCTTGCGCTGTTGAAGGCCGAGGAGGAACACCACCACGTGGCGGCCCCCCTGGACCACCATATGTGTCCTGGCGTGGCGGAGGTCCGCGCCTTTGTGCTTGGTCGTTGACCGGCATGGTCATGCTTCTAGAAGGCGGACCGAAGTCGTCCCTCGGAGGGCCTTGCTGGCCGTAGCCATCTCCTCGGAAGTCTTGTCCGTAGCCTGGCTCAGGACCACGCCGCGGGTCAGAGTAGCCACGGGGTGGCGGCGCTCTGCCATTTGGAGGTCCACCAGGAGGCCGCTGCTGGACAGGTTGGGATGAGATGTCGATTCCGGCCATTTTGTTCAGAATCGCATTTTCAGCATCCAGGTCCGTCTTACGGCCTTGTCCTGGAAATGACGGGAAAGCGCCACCACTAAATCCCTGGGCGCCAGGAGGACTGATCGGCGCGTGTTCTCGAGGACGATTTGCTAGGAATGGTTAGCATACAAGGGCATAAATGGCACGCATGCAACTTACCAGCTGGATCTGAATTGGCCGATCGCTCATACGGAGCGGGACGGCCGCCCCGGCCCATGGGGAAACCTCCTCGGCCTGGGGGACCGCCACCGCCACGAGGCGGATATGCGCCGCGAGTACCATCTGCGGTCGGAGGACGTGCAATGGGTCCACCTCTGCCCATTTGAGGCGGTCGTCCTCCTCTTGGAGGGCCATTGGGCCCTGGGCCGCCACCATAGTAATCCTGCGGCGGATATCCTTGATTCGGCGGCGGACCTCTGCTGTAGTTAGGGTCCTGGTATTGTCCGCCGTAGTTTTGGTCGTAGCCACCATCATCATAGTAGTCGTAGCCATATCCGTCCTGCTGGTAGTTGTCATACTGCTGAGGAGGACCCCGCTGCGCGGGCGCTGGGCCGGGGCCCGGTCCAGGACGAGGCGCGGGAGGGCCACCGCCATAAGGACGCTGACCCGGATATCCTGCCATCGTCTGCTATGCCACCACTGCTCGTGTCGGAATCGTGTCGTGGACTTTTCGATTTCAGTGGCGCAATGTGCGGGTTTCGGTCGAGTGTGTTTTTGGGGTGTACGTTGGGGTAAAAAGATAGGTGGTTCGAGGTCGGAAAAGTGTTGGTTTCGGTAACAGCTCCTAGGCGGCCCGGGATCGCATAAGGTTACCGTAAAGGAGAAAATTAGGTGTAGCTCCACAGCTTTGCGGAATTGGACAGACTACAACAGACGCATAGCTGACGTTGACGATAAGGCCAAGGGTTGGCGGGGGGTTGTTATGGTCTTGTAGGCTGGGATTCCGCACGTTTCGGCTCAATGTTGATCGACAGTTTCGGCGGGCCAGGCTATGCGCGAGAGCGGACGATTCGAGTTGGTAACCGGGACGAGAAAACAGTCCACTGCAATTTCGAGGGGTTCGGTGCGCGCAGGACGGAGTGAGCCGAATTTCAAGGGGAGTAGTAACCGATAGAGAGAGAGGGACAAAGGGAAAAGGAGAGAATAAGAAATGAAGTAGAGCCGCGCGTTGGGCAGTGCCGGGTAGTAGGTTCAATAGAGCAGCCGTTAAGGGGAGATCGCAGGTGTTTCCAGAACACGGCGTCTATTGGTGGCAGTTGACGGAGTGCAGCAGTGGGGATGCAAATAGAAGTTGATGTTGGAGGGGTGGACGAGGTTGGGCCGAGCTCTCTCTTGTGTGGGCAGTATGTGTACTATGGCCGTGCCGTTCAAGGTTGAGCAACTCAGGTTGCTTAAGGAGAGTGAGTTGAGGAGTGGGAGGAGGGTACGGATGTTCGTAAAAGGTATGGGTAAGAGATAGAGAGCGAGGAAGAGGTCTAGCTCATGCACGCGTCCACAAGTCCACACACCAAAGGAACGACGTGTGTGCGGTGCGGTGCGGTAGGTATTCGTACGGGTGTGTGATTGGGACTGGGACTGGGACTGGGACACGGGAGGGAATTTGCTGGTGGAAGAGAAGAAGAGCAAAGCACCTCAGGAGACGCTGTCGGATGCGGTGCAACGCGCAGATGAATTAAGACAAGACGGAAGACTGGGGGGAGAAGGATTTTGACTGGACTGGGCGGGATGCGTGGACGGGATTGGGTTGTTGGACGAGGCCCGGGGCGGGTACCTCGATTCGCGCATGTAAGGCACGGGGCGAAAAGGTACCTTTCCTTTTCGCACAGAGATGGATTATGGAGGGGGAAGCATTGGAGCATCGGGGAGGTGGTGTCTCGCTTTCCCAGGGTCCCCGGTTACGAGGCGTTCCTGCGGCGGTTGTCATGGAAGGCAAGTGCTCCCATGGCCATGTACCTTTTGTACCTTTCTTCGACCTCTCTTTCGCACCACCTCACATTACAATCATGTCCGTGTAATACAACTGTGTGGTGTCTGCCTACCTACATTACTTGAAGTCATGAAATGAGTTGGATTTTCTGAGCAGCGTTAGCAAGATACGCATTTTGATACGGCAATGTAGGACTGTTGTCTGCGTTTTGTTTGTTGCAGAAAAAGGGTACAAATGAAGGTCCCTGAGCAACAGCGACAAAATGACGACAGCGTGTTTGAGAAGGCGCCTGTCGGGGCCGTGTCCTTCCATCTGTCCATGTCGCTCCTGCTTCCCTACCATACCTTTCTTCAAGGTACCCGATCTCACAACAAGGTACCTAACAAGTGATGATATGCCACCCGGACGTGCTCTGTAATCGATATCTCTGGTGTCAACACATTGCCCAAAGTCTGTAGATGGTAGGAGCGACACTTATCGAACGGCGTCGATGATTGTCATCTTCTGTCATCACAGTCTTCATGGTCACAAGGATCCGTACCTTTTGGCCTGTCAAGATGGTTTCAACACCAGAGACGAAGTCATCCACTCGATACGACGCTACTTCGGTACTTGCGCTACTAAGGCAAGTAATACAGTACCTCACTAAGGCAAGGTACGGAAGCAGCGTTCGCGCTGCCGCTGCTAGCTTAAGGTTACTCTTACGGAGAACTTTGAGTGACTTTGCAGAGGGGGGAAGGGGCTACAGCCTATCGGTACTGTACTGTATGTACTTCAGAACTTCAGGCGCATTGAATGAAGCGGGATCCAACAGAAGCACCGCCTTCAATTTGCGCCAGCCTGCTCGTTACATTTACAACATTCATCTTTTCATCTGGGTCATATACTCTTATTACATACTCTTATTTCTCTGGGGCATCCCGCGACCCGCCCATCAGCTTACAGACCGGATAGATTACATACCATGGTCGAGATGCCAACAGTCTCCCATGAGTACGGCAGCTTGAGAGAGAGAGGATATCCCAGATCAGTTGGGCAATCCTGCCTGAACCGCCGCCGGCCCCACGACTAGGCAATGTGCAACTCTCTCGCTTTTCTACCCTCCCGTCCTCAGCGAGGTACACCGTCACAATGCGCCTGGACAGCCGCAGCACGAAGCCCTCACAGGAAAGGTTCATCCGAGCGCTGCAACGAGGGTCTTCCCAGCGTCGCGGCTTGGAACTGAGGTCATGGCCACGGTAAGGTACCGGACCTCACTGGCATGACTTGGTCCATCCATAAGTACCTGTACCTAAGGTACTCTAGACCGAGTGGATGGGTCCATTGACTCCGTGCTTCCCAGCCTTTGCATTCCACAACCCATTTCCCCTCCACACTCATTCATTCACTTTGCGAACAGAAAAAAAAAGACGTCAGTCCAGCAACCATCAATGGAATGTCACAGTTGTCTTCAACGAATGATTTGCAACTACCATGCCGTTTCCGTCTTCGGCGTCACGAGGCAGATAAGACCAGCGACATTGCAACCTCAATTAGGTGCCTCTATGGCAACACCCCCAAAAAGCTTCATCTGACAACCTCTTCCTTTTTGATCTTTCCAACACGGATACCTAGTTTATCAGCCACCGCAAGCGATGCAATCTTGTGCCCTAAGAAAAACGACGCTGATCAGGCATGTCGCCTGCTCTCACCTGACTGCCTGACCCGGGTCGCACAATGTGCCTTATTATGAAGCAGGGATCAATCACAAACCCCCTAGGACCCGTTGAACGAGCATTGCTGCAATGCATTCTGGCTCCGCGTCTCTCTCTCTCTCTCTCTCGAGGTGCACACAACAAGAGCGCTGTATCAGAAACTCCCCAGTGGCGAACCTCATTGGCCTGACGCCCCTTTTGAGTCTGCTGTTCCCATGGAGTCTGCCTTATGGGGATCCAGTATTATCACCCTTCAGCCGTCAGCCGTGAGCATCAGGGGCCCGGCTGTTACTCGGCTCCTGTCCACCTCTTCTCAGAACAAGAAGCAATTTATCAGGAGAGTAAGAGAACAACCCTATGCCCAAGTATCGAGAACCGAAAAAGCAAGGGTGCGGAAACAGTCCAGGCTCCTGTTGAACCCCGTTTTCCAGTGTGTCTGGTGTTTTGGCGTACCGACAGGACCCTCAGCGAGACGAGGGGCAATTAGGTTCGCAAAGTCTCTGTGCGCCGAGCCTGTCCGCGACATTTCGTCTCATCTCTCTCGCTTCCCGTCGACTCCCGTCCTGTTGCCCGGGGCGCGGGTGCTGGTATACCGTACTGAATTGGTACTGGTGAACGGTTGTGGGATTCAGTGACAGCAATGCCTGTTTATGCAACCACCCCAAGGCAGCGCCGCTAGTTCTCACTTTTCGTTGCGGCATTCCTTCTTACTTGGAAATGCATCATCTAGCGGGAAAGCCACTTAGCAAGAACTCAAGAGCAATGACCAGATGTCCTGGTGACGAAGTCTCTACAGTCTTGCTATTCGTCGACGGTATATCAGCCTCTCTGGTCACGCTCAGGAGGCCTCTCCCCAATCGTATTGCTTTACGACGTTTGCCTTCGTCGCCTCCACTTCTCGACCAAATCTAGTGTGGAAACAACCAGGGTCGAATAGGAAGGCCGTTCGGCCCGGTCAACGTACGGCCAAGCGGCCAAGCATGCGGTGAGGTGGGTTAGGCATTTTGTCAGCCTCCGTCCCGTTCGGAGTAGAGCGTTTTCTTTCCCGTCTCGAAGGAAGGGCTGAGCGGCCAAGACCGGCGTTTCCATGTGAGGTGGGGTTTATGGCTTTAATCCTCAACGGTCAAATCACGATGCATAGGAAGCCCTCAGACGCGTGGAAGACACTACGCCCCTGAAGGCGGAGGCCTTTTGATTTCTTTTCGCCACAACGACAGTAAGTAGACAAATCGTGACTGACATCGAAGGGCGGCTGTGCCATCGTTGCCAGTTCACTACTGGAGGCTTGTCCGGCACATGGGTTTCTGATGGACCGTAGGTGGCCTCCCTTTCTGGGGATATCCCGCCGCAACTCACGAGGGTCGGTGCTCGATTTCGTCCTGTCATTGGGGAGGGGAGCACGGGAAGCGTTTTCTTGCGTTCCTGCATGTCGATCTGGAGCGTTGCTTGTCTCCCAAAGGATTGTGGCATCATCCAACCACAATCGTTTTGTTCGATGTTGGTGACAGTGAGCACAGCCCCCTCGGACATGTGGTCTTCCGCCTGCGCCACGAGGTTGCAGAGATGTGCTGGGAAGATGAGAACTGGTCTGTGGGTTTGGACGATCATGGGAAGTAAATGGTGTAGTGTGCCACACTTTCGAACGGACTCGAGCCCGAGTTTTGTTCGCATTGGTGCGTCAACTTCCAGTCTAGGAATATGCAGAATACAGCTGATGTCGCACGGGAAGCACTAGCCACACCATCTCAAGAGAGCGCATGGACCACCGTAAGTCAGCGAGTCCAAGCTTACCTAAGGGTGCACGAGATGGCAGCTTCCCACCGCCTTCCAAATTAGGTCTCTGCTGGTAGATCTCCAATCAAGCGCGTCAGGTTCGTCATCGATTGTGAGAGGGTTGCCTCTGCGTCGCAAAGCCCCGAACTCAAGTCTCCATTGTCGGAGCTTCGCCAAATCGTCACAGCCTACCTGCTATCTCGCTGCATCGCACAAACTCAATCACCATGGCGACAAAGAAGGCTACGAATTGGAAGTTGTGGGGAAAGATGCTGCTTGGGTACGTTGAGACTCTTCAAGGTCTGTAGAGAATGGCGAACTGACAGATGGGCATAGTGGCGGGATCTTTTGCGTGGGCGGCCCGGCCTTCACCATGTGGGTGTCGCCGACGGAAGAGGAGCTCTTCAAGAGATACAACCCCGAGCTACAGGCCAGGAGTCTTGCGAATCGCGAAAAGACGCAGGAGGAGTTTGACCAGTTTGTTACGAAGCTGAAGGAATACTCCAAGTCGAACAAGCCGAGTACGCCAGTCACATCTTGGAATTACGGTTCAGCATGGAGCTAACACAGTCAACAGTCTGGACGGTGCGAGACGAAGATATCGAGAGACAAAAGCAGGCACGCGTGAATGAGCAGAGGAGGAGAGAGGCCGATCTCAAGGCACAACAAGCAGCGATGCGCAAGGAGTCGGGAATGTCGGATGACTTGGACTGATGTCCCGCCGCTCTGCGACGGACTGTACTATATCAACGTGGTCTCGGAGGGTCTGGGATTATGCCATGTTTGGCTGTATAACAACGAAAGATACCATGCTGACCTTTGAGGGTTGCTTTCAGGCGTTTGAGGGCTCAAAGACATTTGGATGAAATTGACAGACTACGCGGCAGTAGTGTTGCGTTCTTGGGATGGCCGGATTGATATCGGCCTATTGATAGAGACGTGATAGGATGCATCGTGCCAGGAGACATTGATTGTCAGTGACGCAGAGCGTTAACCTGGTTCAACACCACTCGAGAAGGCAAGCCGAAAAGCTCATCACTTGGCTGGCCCCACCTCATTCGGTGAGCTTTCGGTGAGGTCCAGAAAAGGAACGTACCTCGGCACAATACTATTTCCGCAAGCGAAGGAAATTCTTGGCACGCACAAAACCTCCATCATTGCATCACCCTCATCACGCAAAGCTGACAGAGCCGACTTCAGCCTTGTGGTAGATAATTAAACGTGTGACAAACAATAAACGAATCACGGTGAGTAGTTTGCCCACCTCAGTGAAATTTACTTCCCTCGGGCGCTGCACACAAGGCGGGACGGGAAGGTAGAGGAAAGAGGGCGGGGTGGGAATATGCGTGTGGTCGTAGCTCCCGTCCTCGCCTGAGGGGGGTCGGCCGGCCGCTGCCCGCCCGGGTTTTTCCCACCTCCATACCACACATTTTTGCTAATTGCCCTGAGGACGACCGCACAGCATCAGCTTGCTTCCCTTTCCCCCACCCGCAAAACCACCACGCCAAACCGTCCCTCTCCCTCCCCAAACTCGTCAATTCTCGAGCCAATCTGCCCACCATGTCGGACGTCCAGGAACGCCTCAAGAAGCTCGGCGCCTCCGCGCGTATCGGTATGTTTGCGTCAATGTCTTTTTGCTCTATGCTGTCGTTATGCTGTCGGTTTCGAAATTGGTAGCTAATATACGCGATGCGCAGGGTATGTGTGAACCTCCGAAAATTGACCCCTCATTTTTTCCCTACACCCATTCCCTCACCGAGAACACCGCGAAATATCCAGAAAAAAAGACAAAATTGCCTACAACCACAATTCTCGAACCCGTCCATTCGCGCGAAATGTTTACAAAGAGGAAATGATGACTAACGTATCGATGCTTCGCCCGACGATAGCGGCAAGGGCACTCCCCGCCGCAAGATGAAGCGTGCGCCCGCGCGCTCCGCCGCCGACGACAAGAAGCTCCAGGCTGCCCTGAAGAAGCTCAACGTCCAGCCCATCCAGGCCATTGAGGAGGTCAACATGTTCAAGTCTGACGGCAACGTCATCCACTTTGCTGCTCCCAAGGGTAAATGACCACCAAGCTACCACCATCACCGTTCACGTCCTCTTTTCCGATGCACCTCTATTCCTCCACCAGAGGATAGCTCTTCCTCTCTCCCATACCTCTCTCACCGCACGAAGAAGTACCTAGACGTATGCTAAGAATGACCCTTTTTCCAGTCCACGCTGCCGTCCCCGCCAACACCTTCGCCATCTACGGCAACGGTGAGGACAAGGAGCTCACCGAGCTCGTCCCCGGCATCCTCAACCAGCTCGGCCCCGACTCCCTCGCCTCGCTCCGCAAGCTCGCCGAGAGCTACCAGAACATGCAGAAGGAGGGCAAGGACGGTGAGGAGGACGACATCCCCGACCTGGTCGAGGGTGAGAACTTTGAGAGCAAGGTCGAGTAAGCGGCGAAATACTTCACAGCAGAAGATGAAAGATTTGCCGAAAAAAGATCAATAAATGAAAAAAAGCTCCCAAACCAAACGGTGCCACCCCCTCTGCGACTACCTTTATACTTTTTGTCATGGGAGTTCGAGGGAGAAGAGAGATACTTTTTTTTTTATCGAAACCATCCTTGGGTTCCGTGGATTGCCTATCATCTATGAACGAGCGTGTGGGTTTTAAGGAATGGGAAAAATTAACGAGATACAAACTTGACTTCCAACGCAAAAATCGATCGATACGAAGACGCTCCCAATGTGTTTTCCGGCGGTTGAAATTGTGTGCGTCGTTGTGGATGTGAGACGGTAAGAGGAAGTCAGGCTCTCAGGAGGTGCTTAAGGCTCGCCGTTCATGTCCAAACTGCGTAGTATTGTGGTCTCGACAAGGTCAACGATTTGGACTCACAGCGTAATGAGATGGTGAGTTGATGAAGATGAGATGTGAAGAGTGAAACCGAATGATTTTCCAATTGCGCTGCACTCATGTCTTTTAGCATCCATACCACCGTGACGAATTCCATCCTACAACCTCGCAAACTCCTCATCCCCAACATTGACAACCCACCCCGCCAGCGCAACCCTCCTCACAGCCTCCTTGACCTCCCTCCGACAAGCAAGCATCTCCCCGCCCTTGACCTTGCCATACGCATCAACATCCAATGCCCGCCGCAGCAACCCCCCGACCTCATCGTCGTCACCACCTTCTTCCGTGGCCACCCGCTCCGCCACCGCCGCCCCAAGCTCCCACATCCTCCGCCTAGAAACCAAACTCGCGCCCCGGACATCAAACGCCTTCCGCCCCTGCAGCACGCCGCCCATCGTGCCCTCATCAACACCACCACCGCGTGTCCAGACAGCAGCGAGGTTACTCGCCGCGATCTTCTCCGCCCCGGCCCGTCCCCTAACCCTCCGTTTCGAGAACTCAAACTCTCTAGACGTGGTCCGCACCTCGAACGGCGAGAACCGGTACCCGCCCTTCCAACGCGCCGCTTCATCCACTACGGCCTTCATTCGTCCGCTTGCTGAGAAGGCGCGCTCGCAGCCTGTAGCGGAAAACTCCGATTCCGGGAGGACGACAGACGAGATGTAGGCGTTGCCGGGGTGGATCAGCAGGGAGGTCAGCGAGGCGAGGAGGGAGGTGCACTGTTTGAGCGCGAGCTTGTCGGAGCAGGATTTCGAGGTGGTCGGGGGCGCGTCGCCGCGGGCTGGTTTGCGGCGGACGATGCCTAGGTGGGAGAAGTAGGCTCTTCCTGGGAGGGGGGTTGTGTCTGTCGTTGTCCCGAGAACAGGGGCAGAAGTGGGAGTGGTGACGCCCGGGGAGGTTGTAGATGAGGACGAAGACGGGGGCAGATCCCAGGGTGAAGCGTCTTCTTGGGCTGCCATTGTGAGTTCCATGCTTGCGTCGCCGCAGGGGGCTTCGGAGCAGTACATGTGTAGGGTGACGCCGTCTCTGATTGCAAAGGGTTGGGGCGAGGAAGGGGAGATGGCGGAGGGTGGGCGTCTTGTGATGATGTTTGAGGTGGGCGAGCTGCCCTGCGAGTGGGCGTCGCATTCGTCCAGGAGGTAGCGGTTGAAGGCGCGGATGGCGAGGACTTCGGCGTGCCAGTCGTGGAGGGCGTTTCCTTTTGCCAGGGGGAGTTTGCTGGCTGGGAGACACTTCATGCCCGTTCTGCGGTAAGTGTTAGCTAGGTGGTCATTGATGGGATTAATGAGATAATGATGTCTGGTATTGCTACGGATCGTGGGAGCTACGATTGTGGTCCGTATAGAACATCGTGAATTAAGCAAGATGAGATCCGGCGCCTGAAGTATGGACCATATGAATCAACTCTCAGTTATAAGATCCGAGATCATCTACACAATACCATATATATGACCATTTTACTTACGCGAGTGAGAGACAAATCAAAACACCATCTTTCTCTGCGACGATGCCGCTCAGGGGAACCCATTCATGTAGGCCATTATCTCTAACCTGGGGCCTCCGTTTCGTGGGTAGCTTCTTGAACTGCCCTAGGACAACATCTGCGATCTCATCAGGGTCGGCTGGCATTTTTAGCGGCCGAGATATGCTCATAAGAGGTCTCGTCACCTTCAGCCAACTTTTCATCACCGGTATCCGTTCGACATTTTCTCTCAAGCATGAACCTGTGTCGTAGGCCGCACATCTCGACTTGAAGTTGAAAGTGGGGCTTCGGGAGTGGGCAAGCCACACACCAAGGTATTTCGATATGTGGCGCAGCACGAGTTGACCAGTATCGGTTATGGCTATCTCCACGTGACACATGCACCACCAGACAGACCCACTCTTTCGTCCCGTCCGCGTAGGGTTGACGCCCACTAGGCTATTCTACCCTCCCACGACGAATTTCCGAACCAGAGTCGAAAATTGTAGAATCTCGCGAAGAGTGCCAGCCTGGTCTTACCCTCCCCTTCCCGAACCCTTTGACCTCATCGACAAGTCAGCCAACGTTCGCATTCAATACCGCCAATGTACGTTCAATAGATTACCCCCTCGTCCGGTCGACCCTCGATTTTTTCCTTCCGACTGCTGGCCTAGCGATTACCCAACACAACCGCAACGTCACCATTTCCGAAAGACAGCCGCTTTCCACGAACAACTTTGCTGGGCCAGACGAAGAGAACGAATCGAGGGTCGATTATAGGAGGATCTTCCGAAATTTTTACGAGGGATTATTTTCTGACTGATTGTTCAAGATGCGCACGTACGACGACACGTTCTCCGGACAGAGAATCTACCCTGGAAAGGTACGATGATGACAACGCCACCCATCCCTCCCTACATCTCCGATATCATCTTTTCCCCCGTCGATCGAAGGAACCTGTTCGAAGCATGGCTGGGCAGTAGGGGAGCTCAACCCCAGATGGAAGAGATGGGACATGAGGGGCAACGACTTGGATGAACGAGCAAGCCATGTGGCGACGATTGATCGACGGGGAAAGGAAAGATGATTGCAAGGAGACGAATTCACGGAGGAGGCAAAGACATAACACTCTCCATGGGAACAAGACGCTGACGAGACTCTGATTACAGGGTAAGCTCTACGTCCGCGGTGACTCCAAGATCTTCCGTTTCCAGAACGGAAAGTCCGAGTCCCTCTTCCTCCAGCGCAAGAACCCCCGCCGCATTGCCTGGACCGTCCTGTACCGTCGCCAGCACCGCAAGGGTATCTCTGAGGTGAGTGCCAAACCGTCGCGACGCTGCCATAAGGTCCCATTCGAGATTTCAATATCGAACCTTGTCACGCGTCGCGAGCCTACAAACCCCCCAACACCAAAGGAACAGATGACTGACCCCCACAACAGGAGGTCGCCAAGAAGCGCACCCGCCGCACCGTCAAGGCCCAGCGTGCCATCGTCGGTGCCTCCCTCGATGTGATCAAGGAGAAGCGCTCCATGCGCCCCGAGGCCCGCTCCGCCGCCCGCGCCGCCGCCATCAAGGAGTCCAAGGACAAGAAGAACGCCGACGCCGCCGCCAAGAAGGCCGAGAAGGCCAAGTCCGCCGCCGCCGGTGGCAAGAAGGGCCCCATCGCCTCCAAGCAGGGCTCCAAGGGCGCCGCTCCCAAGGTCCAGGCCCGTACCCGTTAAACAGCCTTTTTTTTCTAGTCTCTCGTTGAGGAATTGGGGAAAAAAAGATTATGGGTTTTGGGCTTTTTCTTCTCTTGACATGATGAAATAAAAAAAGAGTAAAAACATTTCTCTGTCGAGACGGCGTGAGGCTGGTGTGACATGCGGGAAGCAAAGAACAGAAACGGCCACCAACCAATCCCGGCCGAGGGTTAGGTTCTTTCTCTCAACCCTCTGGCTGGTGAGGGGGACCGTTTGATCGAAGGAACGAACGCTTCTGACAACGAACGATGGTGAAAGGCACAATACGACCAGGTTCAAAAACTTGATTGGAGTCGAGGGTTCATTGTGCTTTGAAACGGGGACTTTGGGGTTCTATAACTACACAATCTCACGGGTAGCACGGAATTTGCATGGAATTGTCCCAACGGGGGATTCTTACCAACGTTTTTGATCCTTGAATTCCGTACTTTGGTGACTAGTCTTCTTGTGTTATGTACCTTTCGAATGGTGACGTGATTCTTGGAGGTTGACATACGTGAGACTCTCTCTCAAGTATTTCAGAGAGGGATATGTCACGGATCTGAGCCTCGTCCACGAGCCCAACGCTCCCCATCCCTCGAGCTGACCGTCCCTTTTCCTCAAGAGAGCGGAGCTTCAAGTTGGGAAAGCAGCAAACATATCGCATCTCAAGTGACTGGCCCCCTTCCACTAGAGTGCAGAACACCGTAACACTCCTTCCATTCCTCGGCCTCCCGCGCTCGAAACGGGGACTCGAAGCCTATTACAGATGACAAACATTCGCGCAAAGCCCAAGCCCTTTTCCCATCCCGTAATGACTTGAGGGGATTCACTTCTATAGCTCTCACTACGCCCATCGCCGGAGCTTCACCTACTGAATTTATCATCTCTGCGACGGAGAACATGACTACATGAAACTTAAGCCAACCCCCTACATTCATTCATTCACTATAAAGACGATCATTGACAGACATCCATACCCTCGTCCTCACTCAAGTACATCAAGCCGGTAAGGCAGGCTCAAGTAGCATCATCACTAGCCTTAAAAGAAAATATCAAAGGCCCGCCTCCATAACTGACGTCCGTCATCGTCTCGATTCATGATATCCCAAGTTTACCCGCATCATGCCTGCTATGGGAACAAGACACACGCATGATATAAATCTGCGTAAGAGATCTTACCCGTTGTACGTATTCAGCAACACCATGGCCAGCGTCGTGGAAAAGATAAACCCACCCCCTCCTCCTTCGGTCCCTTCTCCCCGCCGGTCTCTCTTCGCGGCAATATCGCATCTCCGAGCCCCGCTACCGAGGCGAAGTCCGTCTGCTCTGCAAAGCTCCCCAAAGGCATCTGACAGTGACACGTAGTTCATAGCGCGTAGCTCACATCATAGCCATCAGATGAATGCTACTTAGCAAGTTGCCAAGGAAACGGATACGCATGTCGACATGACTGTGAGCAAGTCTCATGAACCATTCAGTGTGTCTCTATTTCTATAAGCGGAAGCCTCCGTCTAACGAAAGTTCAAAATTCTAAATGAGCTTTTGTTCTAAACGCGTCGTCGGAAAAGTTTATCTTTTCTTTCCCCCATCTTTCGTCTATAAAAGAGAGACCAATGATCTTGGTTTTCTCAAAAGGCATTTCTCATCATGTAAAAAAAGGAACCCGCCCAACGCAAAATTCATTAAATCTTTCAAGTGGCACAAGTTACCAACTCTTTACAGAGCCTTGAGAACGGGCTCAGCGCCAGAGACCTCGAGACCCTGGAGCTCAGTCTCCTTCTCGGCGTAGACGACCTTGCCGTGGTCGATGACGATGGCGTAGCGGGCGGTGCGCTCGCCGTGGTTCCAGCCGATGGAGGTGGAGAAGGCGGCGTTGGCGTCGGAGGCGAAGACCTGGGAAAGCCGGGTTAGTTTATCAATGCTTGTGACGATGGCTGTAATATCGCGCGATGAAAGATGACGAGGAGAAGACACGAATGCAACTTCGCGGATGAGGCGATTTGAGCGTATCGTGGTATCATGTTGAGACTCGTTTCCCACCCCCTTGTGGAGGGGCAGAGTGGGGGGTGGGGGGCGGGCGGCGTTTATCGGAGTCGGTGAAGGGGTGAGCTCCACGGAAAGAGGGGGAGGGGTAAAACAACACAACGCAACAGCACAGCACGGCTAGAGCTAGCTCAAGAAAACAAGTCGAAAAAAAGTGCAACAGAAACAGCAAGACAGAGACGGGTAAAACTCACAATGAAGTCGTCCTTGATGTTGTTGGCCTTGCCCCAGCCGGACATGACAAAGGGGTCGTTGTAGGCGAGGAAGATGACCTGGTCGACGCCCTTGGCCTTGAGCTCGTCCTTGTGCTCAATGTAGCCGGGCAGGTGGGAGGCGGAGCAGGTGGGAGTGAAGGCACCGGGGATGGAGACGATGACGACCTTCTTGTCCTTGAACTCTGTTGGGAGACGGGAGCAGTCAGCCAAGAGGATCTTGTGATGCTTCGATTCATATAGAGAGACTTACCCTTTGCGGTGTCGTACTTGATGGGGATACCGCAGACCTTGAAGTCGGCAGTCTCCTCCTGGTGGGGGATGTACTGGAAGGCAACGCCCTCGGGGAACTGCTCGCCGACCTTGAGACCAGACATTTTGATGTTTTGGTGTGGGTTGGTTGAGGAAATTGGTGAAGAAGTGCGTTGGAGATGTGAGAGTGGATTGGTAGTAGAGTGTTTTGTTGAAGAATGGAAGGAAAGGGAAAACAAGATCAGATAAAGGAAAGGAAGGTAGGGCGAATTAGTAGGTGGGCGGGATATCGAGGGATCGCCGAGTCAGGGTCCCAGGCGCAATTCTGCGAGCTTCCAGGGAAGTGGAGCTCGTGATGATTTGTATTTGAGATACGGATACTACGCTCCTTAGCCGCGGGGCGGCCACTCCTTCCTGGGACCACCGCCGACCATCTCAGGCACAGGCACAGGCAAAGTGTCTTTGTGACGGAATACAAGTGGGCAAAAAAGTGCGGACCACGGGGACCTACCGTTGCACTAAGTTCTAACAAGAGGGATTCGACGGTTTGATTTGTCTCGGAACTCTGGAGAGTTGTCTTGTTTGCCCGCTTTCGCGATGAAAAGCCATGCCATGATGCAAAGTATCCTTTTTTTCCCCTACTCTAGGTACCTCAGGCAAGGAAGGTAGCAGATAACAGCAGCATTCAAAGTGACAACAGACAGAGTATCCGTATGGGGGAGGTACGAATAGATGACATGTACCTTGAACTCTGATAACACCAGCAAAATGCGCACCTCTTCGGCCCACAGAGTGACATGACGCAAGACCGGGAATTTATGCCGCGTCCGTTTGGGCTCCGATCCCCGGCCTCTCTCCCCCGGTGGGGGGAGGCGAACAAGGGCCCCTCTCGGCCGTCCGAGCATCCAGCCTGTCGGCCTTCTACCAACGTCCTTCGGAGTTACTGTGCCAAGACGTTGTGACTCTGGGAGCCTTTTTGTCATCATGGCGAGGTCCGGGTACTCCAGACCCGGCCGGCGTGACATTTCTGGATGTTGGTGGTCGTTGGCGTGCAGATGGTACAAAGTCGGCGAGCATGTGCTTGTCTGGATTTTGCCTGATTTTATCGTCTGAAGAACCAGCTGCCGGGACCCAGGAAAGTCAATCGTCCGGTACCTGGTTCACATAACAACACACCGCAACCGCATGTCAGCGCGGCTCTGTGTGGCAAGGCAGAAGTTGCGCCGGCGTCGGCCGTTGCTTTTTACTGCAGCGCTCTCTCCGAAAGCCATCCGAAGTTTGAAAGACTCGCCATGCTCAAGCTAGATAGGAATTTCTGAGCTAAAGCTGAGAAGTTGTAAAACAAAACTTTTGCGCCTCATCTGACGTCGATTCGCAAGAGCAGAACCCGCGGTGTTTGCCAAGGGCGCTGATGACAGCTGACAAAGGCCGAACCCACGGCAATCTGTGCCTGTGATTGGTTGCATCGTCGGATGCTTGTGTCTTCTTCCAGCATGACTGACATGTTCAAAACTGTTGTCATACCATGGCGATAGCTCCATTACTTTATGCATCATCACTTGGAAAGATCGCATTGCTTGAATCATGGCCAGCCAGGACGAAGCCAGACCGCCGTTCCCGCCCTTCACCGAGGAAACCGCGAGGATCAAGGTGAAGGCAGCCCAGGATGGATGGAACTCCAAGTCCGTGCCCCTCAGCAGCCAAAGCAAACGCCCACTGACATCGCCGCAGAAACCCCGCAAAAGTGAAGATGGCTTACACGCCTGATTCCGTCTGGCGCAACAGAGACACTTTTCTCCAGGGTCGAGATGAGATTGAGCAATGGCTCACCAAGAAGTGGGAGAAGGAGAATGGATACCGGTTGCGCAAGGAGCTGTTCGCCTTCACTGATAACAAGGTAAGCTCCCCAGAGTTACCGTTGACCCCGCAGCTGTAGCTGCGCTTTTGAAGGATCACTGACCTTTGGAGTAAGATTGCCGTTCAATTCTGGTACGAGTGGCATGATGAGTCGGGACAGTGGTGGCGGACGTATGGTCTCGAGGATTGGACCTTTGCCGAGAGCGGGCTTATGCGCAAGAGACAGATGAGCGGGAACGATGTCAAAATTGAAGACGCAGAGAGGTGGTTCCGGGATGGCGTTGATGTGAATACCGTTGATATCTCTGAGAGGCACTGGTAAAATCTGTCCCCTGTGCCAAGACATTGTCTGAACTGCAAAGATCCGAATCCTTCCCGTAGACTAGTACCGGTAGGGCACGACTTCCAATGATTCGTGGTATGGCTCGTATTCCTGGCGGCAGGGCTTTTGTCTCGAAGTAGTAAGTCTAGAATCCTCTCGGCTGACACCTGTGCATCTGTTGGATAAATCTATCTAGTGTAAAATCACTGTCGAAAATGCGCCATCGTGTCTCGAGGTTTGGGGAAATGTTATCAATCAGATGGGGAGTGAGACAGGCACATATCTTGTCAAGATATTCCACAGGAGGCCAATGTTCTAAATACCAAAAACAGGCGTAAACATGACTAGCAAGCCGCCCACGAGGAATTCGCGAGTTCTCCACGAGGGGGGAAGTGTGTGCGACTGCCCTCTCTGACCCTGAGAGCCAAGCACCCACGTACCTAGGTCAAGATTCTCGGGCCAGCACATGGGCGGCACGCTCCCGACTCTCATGGAACGCATATTGCCATCGAAGATAGGAAGGTGAGTTGGGCCATGGTCCACGCTAGAGAGTTTTCTTGGTTTCGAGTAGAAAGATGTAGGGAAGACTTAGCGTCGTGTGGTCCAGGTCGCCAAGCGCATGACAGGAGCTTGACGCCACGATCCAAAGAGGCGTTTATGGAGACCAGAGAGACGATGCGAGAGCTAGGGGAAGGAAGAGGCCCCTGCGCGAGGACGAGACGATGGCAATTAGCAAAGCATCAACCCCGGCTGACGGTTCGCATTGTTATATGAGATTACCCGAATCAGTCATTGTTCCTATCAAGGCTTTTGAGGATACCAAGAAGTGCAGCTTTGCCAGAAGCCAAACAAGAAGAGCAGAGACGGGCTGTGACGAAAACCATCAGCTTGCATATGATCACGCCGCGTTCAGAGCAGTCACAGATACACACAATGGTTATTTTGCGGCACGATAGGCGAGCCAATACCTTGTACAGAACGCAGCTGGAAACATGCCCGGCGATCTGTTCCTCTCGGGCCGGAAGCAGCGTCGCAATCGGGTAACGTGTGACGTTTGGCTCGGCACAGGGGTTCTGGCCACTCGTTGGGCCGTCCGTCCCGCTGGAGGGGGGTCGCTTCGAGATGACTGCAATGATTTGCACCAGGGGTATTTTCAGCTTTGTGACCTGAATGGAATGCTATCTTGTCCTCTGCATCGACAGCTGCTGCAGTGCGACGGTGCGAAGGTGAGGTTGGAGTAAGATGTGGTCTTTGCCAATGTTACAGGCGGCCGATTCGCAAAGTAGAGCTACTGAAAGCTGGCTCGATCGGATAGCTGGCTCATCGACGCTACACAGAAAAAGGCGCTGCTCGGAAGACGGTTGGCACAAATCTGGGAGGGGGGATGGACGCACAAAGACTGACCTCGGGGTGATGGTTAGGTACGGCGACCATGTCACCATGGTCGGCGACACTAGCGAGACCGATTAAGCCGAGGTAGTCTACCAAGGCTTTTGGTGACTTGGTGTGACAGGCTGGATATGAGGTTTTCTCAGGCTGGCTGGACTTGTCTAGCTGGTGGGTGACGGTGGGTGAGGGTGAGGAGCTAGGATAAGGTAGTGGTTGAGCGATGGTTTGATTGGCCGTTGGTGTAAGTAGGGATAGATTTATCGATTGGCGAGGAGACATAATCAAGGCGCCCCTTCAAACTCTTCTTCACATTCTTCGCAGGGATAGTTTGAAGAGGCTAGTCGTCTCGTTACTGCTTCTAGCCTGACCGATCTGGTTCGCTGAGGAGAACCCCGTCACTATAACTAGATACCTGGCATGAGGACCAGGCAGGGGAGTATTAGCATGAGGTGATAAATATGGCAAAAAGCAAATGCTGTTTGGGGCTGGTTGAAGATGGCCGACCTTTGGTGGAGAGCATTCGTGTAAGTAATCTCGTCTGATCTTCTAATTGTCTGTCGATGCAGTCGTCTGATGAAATTTGCAAAGAAAAGGAATTCAGGCGAACAGATTACATAGGTAAGTCGAACGCTCAAACTCAGTTCTCCGGGCAAGGTGCTTTCCCTTACAAATGAAAGTCGCTTCTTGGAAGTCCTATGGCAGGTGCGAACAAGGCACGAATAGGTACAGAGAGGGAAGGAAACATCGTCAATCGATCTCGGGGAAGGAACGCGCACAGACCGGCGATTCAGGGGACCCTGCCAGTAAGGAAGGCACCTTCCGGCCTACATTACCTTAGGTAGTACCGCAGTAGTACAGAGGAATAGGTACCTTCACCACCCCCACTACCACCAACAACCCCTTGCCTCTTTTTTTTCTCCCCCCTTCCACCTGGGCAGCATTTTTGTCTTTCTTTTTCTCATCTTCGTCTTCTCTCTTCCCCCGGTCAGATGGGGATACCTACGTACGGATCCTTCTCATCAAGCATGCCAGGTACGCCTCTCTCAGCAATCCCGCGCTTGTGTCGTAGCTCCACCGTCTGTTCACAGCCTGCCCTACGCCGGATCAGTTTCTCCTGAGCGCCGTTAGGCGAGTGGCACACCTAGACCCAAAGTCAAACTTGAGTTGGACCACGTTACGTTCCCTATTAGCACCTTTCGCGATCCGACTTGACGGGCTTTGGGGATGGGGACTGATGGACTACAGTCTCCTCAGTCCGGAAGCCTTCGCCTCATCCGTTGATGAACTCAGCGCCATGAAGAACAAAGGGAATCCTGCCTCGGCCTCTCGGACCCGGAGCTCTTCTCCGTCCACCACCAGACGGCGATGGCAAGTCTGAATTCTGGAGGCTTGATGTGGGAGGCGCCGCCTGCTCTCGTCATGGTCCACCTCCTTACGGCCGCCTCCTACGCCTCCGTGCCCCGGGCCCGGTCCCCTGGAGAAAAGAGAGAAACGAGTCCTAAGGATTCGTCCGTGTCTCGCTTGACCTCGAACCAGCTTCTGATGCTGGCTGTTGCCATGTCAGATTGTTGCTGCAACAACTTGAGGCGAAATCAGCACTCGACGAACATTTGACGGCTTTCACAAAAGACATCACTAATTATTGTCACACCGGTCTGAGAAGATTCCAGGCCTTTGGGTGTCTTCTCCACGCTCTCCTCTTGTCGATCTCCTGCAATCTCCCACACAAAAGGTATCCGTACCTATCACCAGCCAATTCCGCACTCTGCAGAGTCGATTTTCCCCAAGCAGGGAAGACAAGCCCAGCTGTGAACTGTCTCAGCCGAACAGACGCTCCTTACTCGTTCAGGAAAGCCTCGATGCTAGTGCCGGTCCACTCCACCAATCGCCACGATGCTGCAAGAGATCGACAGTGATTTCGCTGTTTCGGGAGCTTCGTCACTTGTGGCTTCGAAGCAGGTCTGCAATGGGAGAATGGGCGTTCTTGAGGCGCCCGGTCACTTGGTCACGTCGTTGCACTGCTCTTGACTCACTCAGTCCTCGTTTGTCTTGTCACCATACCATAGCAGAGAAGTTTGGGCCTTCGCCTCGCAAACGCAAAGCGCTGTGATTCTTCGTATTGTCCAAAACAATGGCCACAACAACGCCAGACGTGCCAGGTAAGCAAGGGCTCGCTGCGTAAACTTTGAAAACCAACGATGCGGTTGCTAGCGCCATTCTTGCTTCTTCTCCTTCATACCCACATGCATCCACGGCCAGGGCCATGTCTCTCAATGTTCTGCTATCTCATGCTGCATACAGAAATTCAGAAATATAGATACATGCCTACTCCGTACTGCACGGTACCTCGCCTCCACCCTCACGCGGGTGCGCTATTCCTTCTGCGTCGTCCTCCATGCCTGCCAAGCGTGCCCTCAATATCAGCATCACCAAGCAAGTCCGAGAAGAAAGCACATCCCTACACACCATGTCGTTTCCACCCGTCCGCATTCCGCCAGGAAACAACAAACGTCTGGACGCCTCACCCATCCCAAGTCCCAGTGTCCCACAGAGACCCCGGCTACAGGTCGATTTCGCGCTTTCTGGATTGGCCCAGCTTCAGCCCTCTCCGTCAACGGAAGCCATTCATGGCCAAATAAAGTAGTCCTTCCGTCGAAATGTGTGTGGGGCTGGCCATCGTCCTGGCCCTGCCCAGCAGCCCTCGACTCTCGAGATATCTGGGCACGGGTTCACAGGCACGCCTACGCCTACACCTGCGTTTCTCCTCTCACTGCTATATCAGTCTTCCTGTGCCCTCGACCGTTTCCCTCGTTCCTTCGCTTCCCATCTGAGTTGTGTTCTTCGATACTCCCAACCCCTTCCACCCCTCCCGCAAGGCGAGCACTATTCTTCATCGTGCAGTAGCTTGTAGTTCGTTCCAACCCTATCTTAAGCCCAACACCACTCTCTTTCCCTCAACTTTGTCCGGTCTTACTCGTGCAACGTCATTCCTGGACCTGGGTACTACAAGTTAAAGGCGGTCTCTTTCGATCAAAGGTTTCTGGACATTCACTCATCCTCACTGTCCTACATCCTAGAGCCTAAGACCACCTATTTCATTCGCTTCTCCACCTACAACCAACAAGACTTGCGACATTTCGTGTTCACCTCTATCAAATATCCAACTATGGGTCTTCTACCTCTCACCTACCGCCGGCCGGTATACGTCAGCAACACCAGCTCAGCCCGCGAGAGCACTTCAGACGTATCCGACAGTGGCGATGAAAAGCAGAGCAACACCTCCTCATCCTTGCGCTCCGGCAATTCTGGAAAATTGCAGGGCATCCCGGAGTCGCTCACTTTTGACAAGATTATCAACGGTGGCACATGTCCTGTAGGTTGCCTCTTACGATTTTGATAATGTCCAAAGTACTGACTTGATAGCCTTGTACCGTGCGTGACTTCATGAACTATCTGATCTATATTGAGCATGCGGCGGAAAACCTTCAATTCTTCCTCTGGCACCGGGACTTCCAGAAGCGTTTTGGTGAAGCAAAGACGTCTGACATGTCTCTCGCTCCCGAGTGGACCGAAACCATGGAGACCGATCTGCTTCAACGCATGAACAAGGAAAAGTCACAGAGGATGCGCAAGAAGCCCGGCCAAGAGATATTCAAGGGGACCGATTTCGAGAAGAAGGGTGCCACGAGCGGCATCGTGCAAGACTCCAACAACCCTTTCCACACCCCTCCACGCACCCCAAACGACTACGAAGGCTCAGTCTATACGGGGTCACAAGGCGTGTCGAATGCCGATTCGTACCGCTCTCAGGCCAGTGATGCATTCGCGGCCGTGGGTGCCAAGCAGCCTTGTAAGTTGTCAGACTCAAGGGCTTCAAGGTATTTGCTGACGGACTTTAGTCACCATCCAACCATTCCGTGAAGAGATTGACCGTGTTATCGCCACGTACATTATGGAGGGTGCGCCGCGACAGCTCAACCTCTCGGCCAAGGAACGTGACGCCACTCTTCACGCCCTTGCGTACACTACCCATCCTACGGCCTGCCGCTTGGCCATCAAAGTAATCGAGAACTCTCTCCGCCAGCAGGCTCACCCCAACTTCATTCGTTGGTCCATCTGCAACGGTAACCCCGCTCGCGTCTTCTTCGCCCGGGCTCTCGGCGTTGGTCTCATTGCTATCGCCTTCGTCGTCGCCATCTTGATCACTCTCAGCCGTGCAGGCCGCGGATGGCGAGCACTGGCTGCCATTGGATGGGTTTTGGGCATTTCCACCTTGGTCGCAGCCTACAAGGGTATGTGTGTTGTCCTCCACGGTATGCACCATCGTCACGTTCGTCCTTGGGAGCTCTTCGTGGACGAGGAGAATGACGACCGCAAGACTTCCTTCGACACGTTTGGATCTAACAACAGCTACGAGTCGGAGCCTTGGGTCATCAAGTATGAGAAGCGCAACATTGTCCGCAAGATCTTTGACCGCGAGGTGTGGATCGAGGAGCCTGCTCTACGCACCATCCAGGACACCATCTTCCTTCAGGCGATGCTCTGTGCCGTTCTCGTTGGCGGTGTCTTCACCGCCATCTTTGTTGCCATCCCAAAGCATGGGTACTTTTGAGTGTGTCTTTGTCCGAGACAGACAGCTGGGACAGCTTGTATCGCAAAGCTTCTGTTTGTTGGTGGCCTTAATAGGTGTAATTGAGTATGTGAAGGATGCTTGGAATGGACGACGAGAACCAAAATACCACTTTGCTTGGGCGCGGCGTCTACGGTGGATGAACCATGTTTCTTTTCGTATGGCTTCGTATATGTAACACGTAGTTGGGCTTGTAGTTCCAAACTTTCGTTTATTTCAGAAGATCTCTTCTGCGACATCATATCCATTGACTGTATGAGTGGTCTATTCAGCGGTATATCTTTGGATGTAATATCCCTGTCCTTGCTCTTGATTTTCGCACGTGCCGTACTGGAAAGGAAACTGATACCGTGACTGGCTTGTATCGAATGGATTGGGAGGACTTGAGAGCTTGGGTAAAATATCTTGCCTTAGACAACTGGCCACTGGTAAGCACTTGATGGCTCCTTGGATAGAGCGATTCATGGAGTTGACGTCTGCATGTTGTTGGCGATTACCAGTGGGCAACTACCGTGGCTAAATTGGGCCGGTACGTGCCTGGTCCTGTCTGTATATTCAACCCGTGATATATTCATCATATTCAGTCCCAAAACCTCAGGCCAGAGAGGGTCTGGTCAGGGGATCAGACTTCACCTTAGTTTTCTGAAACTTCTTCCTCTTCTTTTTTTTTCTTTTCCCACTGCGGTCCACAGGATTTCTCGTCTTCCTTCCTTACTCCCGCCAACCGGCAAAGGCGATCTCATCACGTCAGTCTGCCTTCGTACAACAGTCACGTCAGAAAATTCCATCGCAATTACGAATAGAAGACGTATGTATGATCCTTTTCTTCATCATATTTCTCCTCGTCGCCGTCGCATCATTGGCCATCTATCTCATGTTCAAACTAATATTTCTCTTCTTTCACTACAGATCGAAACCCCAAATACGATGGCATTTAATCCTTACCCTCGGCTCGTCCAAGCCATACTCCAGAAGGAAGATTGGCCCGAGTACGAAGTGCATCCTGTGCCGCCGTGGCACCAGACCATCTTGCCCGGATACAGGCCTTACAGGCCTCGCCGGGAGCGAATGATCTTCAAGCCAAGCAAGCTGATTCGATCCCCTGCGCTTCCCAAACGAATCGTCCGCGTCGATTATGACGAGCAACAGAGACTGGCGACCGAGATGATTGAGGGTCTTGAGGGCCAGTTTGGCGAGCTACAAGGCTATTCCGTGCCATCAAAGCAAAACAACTCGGTGTTCCTCACGCGGTTCGATAGCAAGACGGCGATGTATGTCCTTCGAATCCACGTCATCTGCCCCGTCATGGATGTCCTCAACCACGCGATGGACATCATCAATGGCAGAAAGTTCCGGGTCCTCCCGGAGCACATGTCCGGGTTTACTCGCCCCTTTCGACCCGATCTCCAGATCATAGAGGCCTTCAAGGATGATGATCTGCACGCACCCCAAATTCTTGGATCATACGACGCTATGGATATGGAGGGACTTCAGGTGGCATCGCGCCCATGGTTCTGGGATGAGGGAGATGAGCCATCGGATGGAGTACCTATAGATCAAGACGATCCGTCCGATGGAGAAGATGAAGACGATTCTTCGGACGAAGAGAACGACGATGATGAAGACGACGGAGACGACGACGACTATGATGAGGATGATGATGATGAGGACGACGATAGCGAAGACGACGACAACGATGATGACGAAGACGAATGTTTTCAGAACCGGGAAGAGAGATACTGCATCATCAAGAACTTCAAGACTCCAAGCCCCGGCTCAAGGCTCCCGACGTCCATGGCCTACCTGGTCAAATACGGAGTCAGATACCTTGCTGTGACGGGCTTGCCCGAGTTCACCATCGGCAACACAAACTGCCAAATCACTATGGAGTGCCCAGACATGGCTAAAGAGTCGACGGTGGCGGGTCGACTTGCTGCTGGGACTGGCGTCATGCGCATCGCGACGAGCGAGAAGCGTGGAGAGTTTTGCCTCAACTTCATGGGCTCCCTCTTGAAGTGCTTCAAGCACTTTCGTAAGGTGCTTCACTCCATTGTCAATGAACGTGATTCAAGTATGCTGACAAGATGACAGTGGGATAGCTGGGAGGGGAGGATACGATGGGGCTGCGCATTTTTCATGCTTAATGCGGGATAGTACTCCAGCGTAAAGGTTTCGAGGGAGGTCTGTTGTTCAAGTTACGGGGAAAAGTTGGTCTGAGATGAACTGTACAATGCTTTTGAGCGAAGGTTTCGCTTATTTATGTTATCACGGCTGAGGGCGTTATGACTGTCTTGTGGGCTGGGCTAAGGGGAAGTCGACTAGTACGAAGTACTTCAATTTCATAATCGTGTGAAACGCAGTCCACCGCTGGATTCGCGTTGATGAAGATGAAGAACGAAAAAAGCGCACATCTCCCATCTCCATCAGCTGAGAGGAGAGGCCCGGTTCGGTGTGTTCGAAAGCATCAAGATTTGCCTACGCCTTGAAAACTCCAAACAGAAGAAAGAGAGGGAAAGAAAAAGATACCCTGATCATGCATGAACACAACCCATCTGATTCCTCTCAACTCAAACTATACTTCCCGCCGTCCAAGGATTCCTAGCGGCGGGAAAATCCAACACCAATAAAAGTTTAAACTCTACGACGTGAAACTGAGACGTTTACTCTCCCCCCTTCGGCGGTATAAATCCGGCTGATGCAGGGCAACCCGAGACGAGAGACTCATTCTAGAAACGGGCAATGCCGTAAATAGCGGGTCTCCCTCCCCTAGGCGACATTCGGACTTTGTCAGAGAGCTGAGGCCTGTGGTCATCCGCCGGTGGTTTCCAGGGAACAAGTCATCTACCCCCATTTTCGAGACTACGATACAGAATCGGAACAATGTTCTAGTGTCCCCGTCAGACATGGGCACAGACGGAAAAGTCTGCGGATATGGTGTTTTTTTCTTTCTCATTAATCGTTGGCGTTCCTCGTTCGGTGGGGGAGCAAACCCCTGTCGCATGGAACTCTCATCGAACCAGTAAGACGCGCCGTTTGTTAGTAGCGACTACCTGATGCGGCAATGACCACGGGAGAGCCTGAGAAAACGCCAACCTCATTGATCGACAGTATCTACGTTCATCCCGCGTGTCTTTGTTAAACCGACGAGAATGGGTGCAATTTAGCATCCAGAATATCCATCATTAAGGAATGATCTTCGCCAAGGGCGTAGTGCGGTTGAGGTATCCGTGGGAAGATCTCTAACAGGCCCAACTCCCCCGTACACGCGAAATCCTGATTCGCAGACGATGGTATATGCATGCCTACGACAACGTTCACCGAACAGAACGATGCACCAAGAATACACAGGCAAGTGAGAGCTGGAGGCTGGCGAAGCGTACACGTTTTGACATGCAAAGTCTAAATGCTAAAACATCAGACCAGTCAGTCACAAAAAACTCCGTCGGAAAAAGGCAACACAACCATCAGACGACTCAATGATACTAAAATAAGAGAATTACCATCCCAGCCCCTGCTGTTTTCTTCATGACAAGTTTTTCCTCCTCTCTTTGGGCGCGCGTGCAAGGCGTCTGGTTTCCCATGCGTCAGGGACGAGGCCTACCACGCGGCATCTTGACTCGAACCCTGATCTTCTAGGATGCCTTGAAACGAGACCTACGCGCGCGCCAAGTCATGTCAATCAACTCACTTCGCCCAAATTTTGGGACGGGCCTCGCCTGCCTCACGAGACGAGCAGAATACCCAGATACCAAAACGCCCGGAGACTTTTCAAAGTCCCTCTCCAAGGTACCCTTCAAAAGGCGGTAATATTGACTCGTGGCACTCATGATGCCTTCCAAACAGGTCGAGCTTCCTTCATGTGCGGTTCATCTCGAACAAGGGGTAGAGCAATGATCTACCGACTCATGTTGAATACGTCCCATCCAAAGCATACAGACAACCCCAGTACTCCGGATCTCCCTCTCAGACGGTAAGCCAGCACGACATCAGACCAGACCAGACGGGCCCCAAACGAGCGGGACAGGTTCACCCAGCAGTCTGGATTCGGTGCTCGCCTAAGGATCATCAAACGTTCTCGCCCGTCTGGGGTTGGATGTGCGGGTGTCTCCCATGAGACGATGCGAGTCGATCGCAAACCACGCGTGGGTAGTGGATCGAGGTAGAGTGATATATAACTCGCCGTGAATCCCTCGAATTCCATCCTCCCAGCCATCAACATCCAGTATCGTCCTCTAAACAATATAATCAGACTCGCAATCACTCTTGCTTCACCAATCTTAACGCAGCTTACCAAACCCATAAATCCCTAAACAAATCAACACCTCCCACAACCAAGATGCGCGCCTCATCGGTCCTCATGGCCCTCTTCGCCACCCTCGCCGTCGCCGTCCCAAGCAACCTCGACTCCGTCAATCTCCCCTCCCTCCTCGAGAGCCGCCAATGCGCAAAGGCGGGAACGTGCTCCAAGGGCGGCGATAAGGGCGAGAGCTGCTCCGCGCTAAAGTGCTGCAGCAATTCCAAGTCTGGTCGTGGCGGACAGGTATTGCCTCCCCTCCTCTTATTACCTCAACTTTTAATAAAGCGTGAAGAGGGAAATGAAATTCTAATACGTTTTATCACTTGATAGGTCTGCTGCTGTAACTAAGCTACGCGAACACACCGTATATAAGACACCTCGAGACGCAGGCGCATCTCGGTGCTTTGAACCAAGCGAACTCGGCCCTCTTCTTTTCAAATGACGGAGATGCAAGATGGACGCCTTCTTTCCTCTTGGTATAGATACATATATTCAGCGATAGACTAGCGACTCGCGTTACCATCAAACTTGATATATCCTTACCGTTCTGAAGTCTTCCTCAAGCGCTGATAACATGATGGCAATGACACCTTCACCCGTGAGAAGATGATAACCCTGCGCAAGAAACCTCACTGAATTGCATCTCGGAACATTTCACCTCCAAAATTCTGATCTTCAGCAAAATTAGACCTCCCGCAAAACTCTCACGGCAGATGAACCAAAACTTTATGGGCAGGTTAGGTTTCGAGCGCTGACAGACGCTTAGTTCCAAGCATTCTGCAGCATTACAAGCCATAAACTTTAGCTACTCCGTTGCGTCCAGCTGCCACCTTCCAGGTGTCTGCGGTGCAGTGGCGGACCAAGAGCTTCAAGGTTTGAGAAAGCTTGTGGAGAAGGAAGTTCCGCCAATTTAACATGGGTCATGAGGCTTTCCTGCCTTCATCGTCTGCGTGGGGCTCTAATCATCTCCGATCGTTCTTGACTCGACCTCTCTAGCTTCTCCTACCTCACTCACTTGTTAACCTTTCAGTATCGCCTGCAGCTCGTTTATACTCTATTCTCTTCGCCTGACACTTTTATTCTTCTATCTACCACTCTCATATCTTTCATCTAGCACAATCGCTTCTTAAGGTGGCACACATACTCAAACAACACGTTGTTCATCACACGTCATGGATAGTCTCCGTGCCGACATTAGGCAATATGGTCCGGGGAAGAAGCTCACACTATTCCCTCACTCGCCGCCAGATCCCTATGGTCGCTCGACCTACAAAGTCCCAGATGGCCTCAAAGAAAAGAGGATCCTCTCAGAGCGAGAGGAAGATATGTCCATGACTGCTCTTTGCTTCGACAATAACAACCAGCCTCACCTACTCGACACAAGCCAGCACGACAATCCAGACAACAGCCTGGGCGTCGAGATTATCGAGTCCCTTTCCAACGGCAACGATGGCGATAATCAAGTGCTCTTGGTCAGGATTCTTCACAAACCTACGACCGACCTCAAGTTCACCGTTCCCGACACCCAAGAACTTGCGGTCGTCAAGGTCTTTGACCCCCTTTTCTACCCGGAGGATTTCCCAGTAGAAGGCGGCCCTCGGAAGGTGACCTCCAGAGCTGACATGAAACTCAGCCGCGAGGCTGGTGCGTACGAGGAACTGCACGACTACAACCTGACTGGCTATCCTCACCTCGCTCCTCAGTACTACGGCTGTTGGACAACCCGTCTTATCAGCTACTCTCCAGATTTTGAGGGCAAGACGCGACATGTTGGCCTTGTACTCCTGGAGTACATCGAGGGAAGCAGCATTCAAGCTATATGCCGCCACGACGACGATGACGTCCTAATTCCCCCCAAACAACGAACTTACTTGGTCCCGAACGGCCCCGATTCGATTCATTTTGACCTTGAGAAACGCTTGGACATTCTAGCCCAACTTATCGAGGGAACCATCAACCAGATATACAAAGGAGTCTGGCATGACTACGTTGAGCCAGAGAACGTACTCATCTCCATGCGGAACAAATCAACCCTCCTTGAGACGCAAAGAGTCTGTCTCATCTCCTACGATATCTGTTCGATCGATTTCAAACTCAGGGATCCCATCGACAGATGGTCGCGGTATCGTCACCCTCCGCATCCTACCAAATGCTTCGATCTTGACCGATTGTATAGTTTTGGTGGCTGGTGGCCTCTCGATTGGGAAAAGGGCAAAGGAGATGAGCACTTCGAAAATTGGCTGCTTGAACGCTTCGGAGAACATGACTCCGATAGGTACTCCTACAATCTGTTGTACTCAAGAGAATGGCTGAAGCGGGAGAGAGAAATCGCTAGAAAGAAGGCGAGAATCAAGAAGAAGAGGGAGATGGAGAAGGAAAAGAAGAGAGCGAGGAGGTCGAAGGCGAAGGCGAAGGAGAGGAGGGCTGCGAAGAAGAGGAGGGCTGCGAAGAAGGCTGCCGCAGAGAAGACAGTGGCGGAGAGAGATACCATCACAGGACTGAGCTCGTCGGCCGCCGCCCTACGAATCACTTACACAGAGACCGCAGGCATTGCCTTTATAAAATCTTTGATGGCAGCCTGGAAGGAAGGATTGAAAGCGGACAAAGTCGGCCAAGGACACGAGGGCGAGGATCCTCGAGGAGATTCAGTCGCGCAACCAAGCTCGTTGATTGAGACCCAGAGCCCCTCAGTGTCTCTGGAAGCAGATGCGGAAGCAGCTGAAGCAGAGGAGGCCAGCCAGGAACACAAGGGTGATGGCTCTTAGGAAGAGTTAGTCACTCGCGCAAGTTCATCCACTGAGGCTCCGAGCCCCCGAATGTCATTGAAATCTGGCGTGGAAGCAGTGTCAGAGGAATTTACATGGATTCATGGCAAGGACGAGGATCCTCAGAGAGAGTCAAGTGTGCAGCCAAGCTCATTGAGAGGATCCCGGAGACGCCCAATGTCGGTGGCGCAGTTGAAAGCCAAGGTCAGGATGCGTGAGGCTTTCCAGAGAGAACGCGACGCGCTGAACCGTCAAGCTCGTGCTTCTGATCCTGAGTCTCATGAGTAATTATCTTCCGGGTGGAGCGTCTAGTTATAGGTATTGTAGCAAACTATGATAGGGCAGAAGACTCATTAGTGTTATGTTGTGTTCGAACGATGATCTCAGAGTGTGTTTGATAAACTATAACCTACCTGCTTGGAAACGAGGGTACGCACGACAGAGATCGTTGGGCTCCGCTCTTTAGGGGTCACTCTGCCAATCGTAGCCTCGTGGCGTATGTATAGATCCAACCGAATGCAAACAGGCCCTGCCTTTCCACTTTGATTTACTTCAGTGATGTAGCAAGGTATATCTGCTATGTGAATGCCCCTCATTGCTTGTTGAAGCTTCGAGGTGCGTTGGTAATCAACTGGAGTGAAAAGAGGCCCTACTTTCCTTCTTCAATCCGGTGAAGGGAAGTTCCAAGTCTCCTAGGACCCAGAGTCTCTGCTGGAATTGCTCCCCGTTCTACTTGAGGGGATGGGCTGCACGTATGGAAAAGACTGCCTTGGAAGATATTGAGTGATTACAAGTGTTTGCTTTCATAATAAAGTATGAAAGGCATGGTCACTGATAATCATCGGCTTTTATGTGTTTCTGTAGTTGTTCGGGAAACCTTGTAGGTGAGCTTTTCCGCTTCAACCGTCTAACCTCACACACAATATTGACACATCTTGGGTTTTCTAATGCTGAACGTATATGACCCATAAGCAGCAAAATGAACTGGGATCTCAAAGCCTCCACGACATTGAACTTTGTTCCAATGTGCTTCAGATGGCGTCGAAGTCCACGAAAGGTATTTCCAGATCCACCTAGCATCCCACCAGTCACGTCGCCCACCATTCTTATTCTCCTTGGTTGTGAAGAACTTTTATCCAATCCGATATGGTGTAGTGGCCAACATGATGCCCTCTCATTTCAGTGAGAGGTTAGGCATAGCCCCGAGTTCGATTCTCGGTTTCGGAATGTTTTGCTTTTGCTATGTTGGCGATGTGTTCACACACTTTTGGCTAGTTTTAGGGACTGGCGCGTCAAGACCAAGGATTCGATGAATGATACACTGATAGATAGCACTGCACACCTTACCTAGTACCTACCCATCCAAGGTGAAGGTACCTTTTGTGTTCATGAAACAGCCTCTGTAAGACTAATAGCATAATGATAAGTTCCAAAAGTAGTTTCATATGGACTAAGCTTGATTCTCTAAATTGATTCCCGAGCATTCTGAAAGCTCATTCGAAGCGCACAAATCTTGAACGAAGACAAATAGAATTTATGATGTCTCTAACATCAATCAAGGGGTAGATGATCAGAATGCGAGGCTCATGACGGCGACAGGAGGATCTTCATTCGGATTCAGCGTTGCTAAGAGGCCCAGTCGAGCACAGTGCCAACCCACTCTCGGTACTGCCAAAGGAGCCCCACCATACCCAGACGCAACGGAAAATAGCACAATGACTCTACTGATGAGGCCTTCACTTACATGACCAGAACAACCAAGTGTCCGTCCCATACAGCATATAACACAAGATCATAGCGATTTAGAAAATGGCGACGAGGATACCGCACCTTCTGGAGAGCTACCTCGCCCTCCCATCCGAATACGCTCAGATCCTCCTCACCAGCGTCCTCGGCGCCAGCACCAACTGGCTCGTCCTGCGGTACCTGTACACGTATCTCAGGAAACTCAACGCCGCTACCGAGGAAGGGGCCGCCTCTGCATCACAGAGCGAGGACGTCCGCGTCGTTCTTGTGAGCTTCATGAGAGATTTTGCGTTTTGGAAGGAAGGCGCTGGGAGATTGGTATGTTTGCTTGCTATTTGACGTGGAATGCCCCTCACTGGAATTTCAACCCCTCCATTGATGAGATTTTCAATGAGATTTTTCACTTCACCACTCATTTTTCTTGCCTGCACACAACACGTTTGGAATCTAATTTGAAAAATAAAATAAAATAAAAAAACGCTAATCATGCACCACAGGGCCTCGATCTAGAAGGACTGGGAAGAAGCGGCAAATTCGTCTTCGTGGACGGGCTGAGCGGGCTGTTTTCCTCCCCTCATCAGGCGCCGCCGCCGACGACGCCCAAGGGTCGGAGGGCCATCCGCGGGGCAAGGCTGGCTGATATCCAGCGCGAGCTCGACGGCGCGGTAGCCGATGTGTCCGCGGCGGATGCGAAGACGGTTCTGATTGTGGACCAGCCGGACCTCTTGCTCGCTGCGTCTGGCGAGGATCTCACGGGTCTTGCGTTGAGGGATATGTTGCTTGGAGTGCAAGAGGTACGTCCACTTACGACCTTACTTTCTGGCTCTCTCCTTTTGAAAGACTTGTTTTCCGTTTTTTGTGTCCAAGTTATTTTGCATCAACGATGAGAAATCCTTCCCACGTTTTTTATCATTCTCAAATCAAGTAAGGGTCCTTCACTGACACATCATCCAGAAAGTCCACGCCTCCATCATCACCGTCGCCGCAGACGAGCCCCTCATCGCGGCGCAGACCACGACGCTGGAGAAGGAGCACGCGAGTCTCGTTCTCGGGCTGGCGCATGCTGCCGAGACTGTGATTGGTCTGAGGCTGCTCGACACGGGTAACGCGAGCGACGTCAGCGGGGTGTTGAGGGTCACGGCTGGAGGGGGCGGCGAGGAGGATAGGGCGGTCGAGGAGACGGAACTGTTGTACTTTGTTGGCGGGGATGGGAGCGTCAAGGTGTTTGGGAGGGGACAGTAATGGAGTGTAGGGAGGGTTGAAGTTGTATGTCACCACCCATTGTGTTGCGGTCAGGCTGTTCATTCTACGAAGAGGGCTTGGAGGGGTTGCTACGGGTTTGGAATCGGGATATGATATACCCCTGGGATGCAAGGAATCATCTCACGATGAGGGGATATCCAAGCTGTCACGTTAAAGTACGATGTTTCGTCTCTGTAATTCCCCATGAACCATCATCCATGAATCGAACATTCACCAGTATCCAGTTGCGCGTGGGATCAGCGAGTGAACAAGACAAGCAAAGTCATTTCTCTTTTCCCTCAGGATCCGTTTTTCCCGTGCGTAACAAAAAAAGTGAGTTTATCCCCTGGAAGAGCCCGCGCGCGAGATAACATAAGACGTAAAAACACCCGTTTCGATTTTTGGCCAAATGCTTTGGTTTTGTTTTGACTCTTTTTTTGATATTGGCTTTGCTTCCGAGTCAAAAAAACGAGGGGAGGGGTGAGGTAGACAGAGGGGGAGGGAAGGAAAAGCAGAAGAAAAAAAAAGGAGCTGATTTTTTCCCTTTGATTTCTTTTCGTGATATCGTTTCCCGAGTAGACAAGACTCCGGCGGCGTTGCCACGCCTTCCCTGGACCCCCTCGCCTCGATCTCAATTTTTCATTCCCCCATCGCCCGAATGCCCTCGGTTGCACAGATACCTCCCCATGTCGACCCGAATCACATTCCAATCATCGCTCACGACTCCTGCGCGGTGGGGCCGGCGGAACCCTTGGGGACGCCGGACTGGAAGCCGTTCTTGAAGCGGCGGGAGACGTCCTTCATGTAGCGCATGCGGCCGGTGCCGACGGTCTTTCTCCGCTTGGCCTTCTCGGACCAGTTGTCTGTAAATCGCATCCTACGTCAGTAACTCGTCTTCATCTTTCTCGGTTCATGGTTCTTGTGTGGTTGTTGCGTGTAGTGGGTAGGCGTGGAACATGTGGCGTGGATTTGAGATCATCTCGGGGGGATTGGTGTATTGGATATGTCTGGGGACTCGGATTGGGTTCGTCGTTCGGGAGGATAAAACGTACACTTGCGGGTCTTGGCCGAGGGGTAACCGCAGGAAGAGCAGGTGTGCTTCTGGATGTGAAGCGATCGGCGACCTGGAAACACGCGGGTATTGATCAGTCTCTTGAGCCCGTCTCGAATCTCGAATTTTGACAAGAAGTCGCGTCCTGAAAAACCAGAACTCGACTTCCTCCCAAATAGATGCCACTTACCGCAACGACGGCACAAGGTGTGCGTCTTGTTGTGTCTCTTACCAAACGAGGAGGTACCCTTCGCTATACAAGAAAAACATCGGTCAGTCCATCGGAACGGCGTAAAATGGTCAACCTTTCGTCGCGAAGACGATGGCGACGACGGCGGCGGCTAAAACGTACTCATCTTGGCGGTATTCGGTGGTCGACGATGGTGTTCGGTGGTTGCTGGTCGGTTAGTTGGTTCGCGGAGGAATCAATCGAGAAAGACGCTCGATTGTCAAATTTCGTGGTGCGTGACCTAAGCGAGAGGATTGGGCTTGGTGGGGCCTACCCATTCGGCCACTCTGAAAATTCGTGGATGGCACTACACGTGACCGAGGGTTCGACCTTCGTCCAATCAACGCCTTCCCCGGCGAGCCAGGGGACTTGACCTGCCTGTGCACCGCCGCCGCATCCCTGTCCTCAATTCTTGGTGGGTCTTGTTTTCCAGCCGCCAATCCATCATTTTTTTGCTGGTGACAAACCCCTGGACAGACCCATTTGAGACTATTCTGTCTCTTTGAGACTGCAGCGGATGCTTCCCGTGTCGTATGTCAGCTACCATGCGATTCAGCAAATGGCACGCAGAACAGAATGAGGTAAGAATGAGAGGCAGGAAAGAGGTAAAGTCAGATTCCACCATTGAGTAATGGCATCACTCTACTTGACGCCATTGAGGAGCAACTATGCATCAGTAAACGCAAGTCGGTGTATTCATGTCATCTACAAACGCCCAGCAACGCCGTTTCCCAACCCATGACTGGGCTTGCTATGTGCGGGTATACAAAATCATCACGTCGTCCACCATCTTCCCATCTACCCTTTACTCCAATGCCCTCTCAACCCTGAATATCCAGCATTTGCTTGAGCGCCGCCTCGCTGGCTCTCAACCAGCGGCCCCGCTCCTCGAGGTCGTCTGCATCACCACCGGCCCTATCCTTCCGCCTTCGCGCCTCCTTGGCAGCTGCCGTGCTGTTCTGTCTCTTGGCCTCCAAGGGCATCAACTCAGCCTGCAGCCTTTCCAGCTCCTTTCTCTTGCGCGGCACCCTGGCCTGCAACTGCTCCAGCTCGCGATCCAACTGCTGCTGCTGCCTCTTCTTCTCGTCCACCAGTTCGAGGGTCCTCGCGAGAGGCAGGTTCATCATCGGGCTCTGTCCCGGTGCTTGCGACTCTTTGAGCTCCGCCACCTGCTCCTCCAACTCGGTAATTTTGTCGGGCAGCTCCCTCAGCTTCGTCGTGTCCAGCGACACGTTCTCGTACCGCTTCGCCAGTTCCTTGCCCTTCCTCTCCAGCTCCGTCACCATGTCCGCGACCTCCACCTTGAGAGCCTTGAGTTGCGCCTTGGCCTCGAGGTTCGCCTTTTCCAGCTCCAGATTCTCCTGCGGCGTGACGATGACGGGCGGATCGCCAACGATGGCGCGTATGAACTTTTCTTTCGTGACTTGCTCTACGTAGGAGAACCGCAGCTTGGCGAAGAGTTCCTTGTAGTGCTCGAGGTCGGCCTCTAGGCTGGCTGGTGTCGCGGCATCTTGGGATGCGTTGGATGCGTCTGACGTCCGTTGCCGTGATTCTTGCGCGACGGCGCTGGAGATGGGTTCGCTGAGTCTGATGATTGAGATTTCATGGTTCTCATTAAGGTCTTCGATTTTGCGCAGCACTTGGGCCGCTTTTCCCGCGTCCATTTTCTGCAAGGTCGATTAGCTGTGTTGTTGTCGTATATATCGGTCCCAGTAGATGCGCTGGCTATTCAAGTTTCGTCGTTGGCGCGTCGGAGATGATGTCGGCGGGGGAGGTTCTGTCGCGGTTGTTAATCCTTTGCCCTCAAGCGCTCAGGGCCTGTCATTAAGGTACCTAACTAATGGTTAGGTGGGCGCTTCACCTTTGTGACGTTTGTTTACTTAGGTCTAGATTGGGTAAGGTGCCATCCTTATCTTATCGCTATCACCGACACGTCGTTATCTGCTGATAAGGTATTTGGCCGTGCGGAAAACGGCAGGCATGGCGCAGGCTCATCCCACTGCGCGCCAAGTCCCTTGTCGATGTGACTCTGGCGGCCTTTGCTGCAGTCGTCGATCAATCCTCCAAACGCCGCAGTTTGCGACAACGACACCTCTCAACTAAGCGAACCCCCGCTGCCCCTCTCCATCGCTTCATTCAACAGCCTCGTTGGAAAGCCCTGTCGCTATTACTTTCGAATTCTTTCATCGATCCGAGACGGGCACTTCTAGAACCCCCGCGCTTCTGTTCTATTCACGACAAAAAGAGGCACATACCCCAGCTAGCTGCCGGATGCCGCAGCCATCAGCCTGATCAAAAGTGTTCGGAAGGCGCGTGGCTATCTCACCACCTTTTTGATCTACGATTTGGTTACCAAGGCCTCATAATGTCGAGCCACGACATGATCACGGACGACTACGTCGCCGACTTGCTCGCCAAAGAGGCAGTCATGGGCAGGGCAGACAAGAAGTACGTCCCATGACTCTCCCGGTTCCCTCACGTCACCATCTAATTGGATCCTCCCTTTAGACCGGCAAACATGCCCAAACCAAACACTCGTTTCCTACGCCACATTATCAAGGACACGAATACGCACAACAAGAACCTCCTAGCTAAGGAGGCCGCCGAGTCTCGCGCGCGCTTGAAGGATCTGGAACATGCCGAGGAGAAGGAGAGGCGGAGGAAGGCAGGCCCGCAGGACATTCGAAAGAGACAGATGGGAGACATCCTATCTATCTTGGGAGACCGCAAGGACAGGGTCAGGCCCAGCCGATCAGGAACATTGAACGACAAGTCGCACAAGAAGGAAGACTCGCCACCTCGGAGGGCACATCACAAAGAACGCCGGAGCGAATCTCCAGAACGCGAGAGCGGTAGGAAGCACCGCCGGAGTAGAAGGGACGAGTCGGATTCGGAGCGGGACGACCGTCGACGACACAAGAGCGATCGGCGGAGGTCACGCTCACCCGACGAAAAGCACAGGAGGCACCGCCATCGGTCGCCAATCGAGGATAGAGAGACTGCGTCAAAGTCACGGCGCAACGAAAGGGAAAGGAGACGAGACGAAGAGGGACAGGACCTGATGTCGAAGGGTCATCGGTCACGCAGAGACCGCAGCCGGGAGAGGCCACAGTCAGGATTCTCGATTAAGGGCAGCAGCCGTCGCCGCGACGGAGGGCGAGTGCACGAGCAGGAGCCCCAGACGACAACATCAGACTCGGATCCGTTGGACGAATTCATTGGGCCGGAACCACCGCAGCAAGTCCGTTCGCGCGGCCGGGGCACCGCCATGGGGGCCTCGGGTATCGACAAGCGCTTTGAAGCAGACTACAACCCCAAAACAGACGTGGAGATGGCCGACGACGACAAACACCCGGGAGAGAACTGGGACGACGCCGTGGAAGCGTTCAGGGACAGGCAGAAGTGGCGGCAGAACCAGGAGGAGCGGATGCGGGCGGCCGGGTACACCGACGTGATGCTGAAGAAGTGGAGGGAGGGCGGTACGGCCGACGAGCAAAAGGACGAGCGGGATGTGAGGTGGGCCAAGGCCGGGGAGAAGCGGGAGTGGGATCGCGGCAAGGAGGATGGGTTGAGCGGGTTGTTTTCTGAGTTCAATTGAGTCCCTGAGGCGCGAGGCGGTGGACCTAGCTTTCTTGTTGCATTGCGTTCGTCGTTTAGGAAGCAGGCTTTGGGTCATGGCCAGGAGGCGTCTGCATTGTTGAATTGCATCCCGGGGTATTGCTTGAAGCATTTGCATTAGTTGGATGGAGTTTTGGTACGTTGATGATCGATGATGAATTTCACTTAATGTCTCGTTATGGAAGCGCGGTGTACCTTGAGCGGTAAATACATGCGAGTAGCTGTAGAGGGAACTTCTGAATGCACCGGTCTTGACTGAGAAGCTGTAGATATAATTGGCATCACTTTGGATATCTCAACCTTGCATCGAAAATGGCATATTTACGGATACTCATGTCATAAGATGGATTGGGACTAGGATTTGACGCTCTCACCCGAACCCTCTGTGAGAAGAGGCATCATCAAACCCATGGATCGTGGATGAGGTGATTCGGGGGTTGGGAATAGGTGGACAGCATGCTATGTAAGGTTCGTCTTTACTTCCCAGTCTCAGACTCACCTGGAGAGGCAGAACCACGACACTGACTCTACGGGATGACGTTTGTTCCGATACTCAATGTGAAGACCTCGAAGGCATATCTCCTACGTTGTCTGAGCCTCAATTGCCGTACGGATGCGAAGGGGTTTTCTTAATGGAAGCCACAGGTCACGGGGTAGACGGGGGAAATGTCACTCTTGTTCATCGACTCGAGGCTTGAGGTTGTAGCGGCGTGGCGGGTGAGATGTTCGCAAACGGCGTTTCACGCTCCCCTTTACCAGGGAAGCAGGGTGGGATGTTCTTGATTACACCCCTGCCCGAGAAAGGCTGTGAAACAAAAGCTCGGGAAAGAGAACCCCCCCCGTCATCCAGGGCGAGAAGGGGTCCATTTTGTCAGTGGAGACTAACTTGATTCGGCGAGGAGGGGTGAAGGGGTTAGAAAGGTGGGATACATCATATACGGGATACGGATACCGGGGTCTTCTTTGTCGTATGGGAATGAGAGAAGGGGAATGTGATGGTGAGAGGAACAGATGACGGGAGTGGCGTTTCCGCTCGCGTGAGGATTCAGGTACGAGAGAGAGGGAAAGGAATGCGGATACCAGGAATGAAAGGATGCCAAGTTTCTTCGAGTGGATGAATGCGGCGTGGAAGGAGGAATGGAATGTGGGATGGGGAAAAGTTGTAAAAAGGTTCTGCGGAACAGCCGGGACGGCACTGCCACGGGATGTCCGTCGCCGGGTGAGGATTGGTATTGAGGACGGCGGGAATGGAGCCCCGGGGACATGTGCCGGGGGGCGGAGGGCGGACGGTGGGCGATGTGTCGGACGTCATGGAGCTGGTGGACCGCTGTTGGTTTCGAGTGAGAGTGGGATGGAGAGGATACGGAGTACGTATCCGTACGTGAGGGGGATGATATGCATGGGTGCTTGATTCTGTAACGCGTTTCTAACTCTGGTGAAGGGGGCGGACGATACGACGTTGGGAGCATGCTTTGTTTTGTTTTGTTTGGTTGGTTTGGGTCGAGGGTTCAAGCCTGGCTCCCAAGCCTCTGTTCAAGGTGAGGTTGGTTGGTAGGATTTAGAGGAGCTCGGGTTTGAATTGAGTTTTCCCTGTGCCATCATCCTCCCTCGGCGGTTCGAGGTTTGAACTCAAGGTGTCGAGCGGAATACCCTGCGCGGCACTGAAAACGGGATAAACACTGGGAGGGTTGGCGAGGTGAGACGCCTTGACGCACTGTGATTGTCTGTTCGCCTGCTACTCTGCCTACCTTGGAGGCTTAGATACCTTTAGAGCTTGAGGTAGCACGGCAGGTAGACGCGTAGACTAAAGCAAGGTAAGGTTATTCGCGTGCGGTATGAACTCAATGGACGACGCACGGTTCGTTGTGGGTGAGGATTGGATGGAGATTAGGTGGAAGAGGTTTACGATGCTGGGCAAGCTCACGTGAGGGTTGAGAAATTGGAGAGAGGATCTGTATCCGCAAGGTGACATGCTCGACTTTGCAGGGCGGATGGGGATATGTGGGACGAGGTACGGATAGCTCATGCAAGCACTTTGGACTCGGCGGGAGGCTGTTGATGAAGGCTACCTCATCAACTCATGTCTGTGTCTACTTCTCTTTCACTTCCCAAAAGCCCGGATTAGGTCGGGTTTCCTCGTTCGGGCATGCGAAGAAGCGCTTCTGCCTTTGTTGCTTGTCTCTCTTGGCCAGTATGAGATATCTCCGGCAATAAGTAACCCACTTGCAACTTCTCGATCATGACCTCGCCGAGGCGGCCCCCCGCCGCTGTCTTGACTTTTGAGATTTGGGTTAGGTTTCTTTCAAGACCGCTAGGCCGAGACGAGTCTGGGCGTTTCTGGCATCCAGAAAAAGCAAGGGACTGCTGCAAACGCACACACCCTTTTTGCAGTTTACTGTTTAGATGGCCCCCCTCGTCTCAGTTGGGGGGTTTAGTCGCGAGGGGCAGTTGAGGGATTCAAGTCAGTCAGTGTACTTTCTTAGTGAGTAGTCGCTTGTGAAGTCATTGGCAACAACCCGACTTGACGGAGAGATTCTTTGTTTGCGTGCGTGTGTTGGTAACGGTATTTGCAGGGCCTGTACGGGATACCGCGCGTTTAGAGCTAAGCTGCTGCGCCCGGTTTCTAGGGTGTCGTTCACTCGTCCCTCGGGCACGGTGTAAGAGGCGAGCGAAGCGACCTCTGTACTGTGCTGCCTTGGGTACGATGTGCGGGCCGTACGGGAATACGGGTAAGTCGTCACCCTCATTTCCCGGATTGTCGTATTCCACGCGAGGTTATAAGTTGAGGCTTAGTTGGTGTTGGACGCTTTTGGACGCTTTCTGGAATCTTTGACGGGGAAGGGATAGGAGCAGCTCATGGAATTAGTGAGATGTTCACTACTGAGAGGGTTACGTCGGCTCTGGCGCTTGGTGCGAAACGATCACGACTGGTTAGAACCCCTATGGTTGTGGTTCAATCTCGCCATGCGCGGCTCGGCGTCAAGGTCTACCTCTCATGTGCTTTCCTGCGAGAGTCGCCTGTCCGCCCTGAAGCATCGGATGTGGAGAATAGGAGAGAAAGTTGAGACGGTGGAACGTGAAAGTTGAGTTTACTGAAGCAATGGTGCAGCAGCGAGCACGCGACGACAAGCAGCATCCAGGACAAATTACTCTCCCTCTGGCTTCCTCTGGCTCCCTCTGGGGCCGGGCCCAGGACCCCTCGATAGGTCGATGGTTGGATACCAAGATACCAAGCTTGAGTGAGACTTTGTGCGTGTGCCGCCAAAGCCGGTCGACCCTGCGACCCATCCCCTGCGGCCCTGCCACACCCTGCGGGCGAGCGTGGCTGGGATGGGGTGTATTTTTGACAGCCGTGGATCGCGGTGGACCATGGACTGTCACCTGAAGAAAGAAAAGGTGATTAATACGGATATACTTGAAGCATGTAAATGGCAATGTTGTTGGTCTTGTTCATGGCTGGTTAGAACTGATGAGTAAACAGATTGCGCACTCATTTGAGGATCTTACTGAGTGATATTGCTACCTTGTTGAGAGAAAGAGTGAGAGTGAGAGTGAAAGTGAAAGTCAATTGTGAGGTGAATTACATGTGTGGCTCATGACCAGACCAGTCCCGCGTGCCCACGCCATCAAACTGAAAAGTGCAGGCGCGTGAGGTGTGCCCCGATGCGCAGTGCGTCCGAATTTCACCTTTCAGCCAGACAGGGGCCCCCAAACCCCCCGACTCGACGACTCCATTTCCATGAGCCCATGGTGCATGGATGAGTCCATTTTGGGACCGCCACTCCCGCTGGCGGTCACGCTTTCATGTGCAGTTGTTGCCAAACGACAGTCGGCTGAGGTAAGTACTCATCGTAGAGAAAGGTAGTGAGGTTTGGTGGCTTCGTAGTGAGTGAGGTGTGTCATTGATAATTGCACGAGAGCAGGAGTGAGTGAGCGACAGACAGACGGGAGGCCCCGGCACCCAAACAGCAACGCCGCGCCCCGCCACCAAATGCGGACGGGACAGACCCTCCTGGTGTGTCACTTTGGTTCGGTCTTCCATTTCCATTGATTGATTCTCTCTCCTCAAGTCACAAGTCACAACCTTTGGAGTGACTCTCCGTCCTTTTCTCTTCCATTGCTCGAGTCGTTCCATCCCACACCTCTACTTACTTACTCTACCTTACCTTACCTCATCCGACGGTGTGTCTCTGCATGGCGCCTGCTGCTCTGCTCTGCGCTGCGTGCACACCCTACCCGCCGTGCCGCCCACAATCAAATTGACTTCTCCCACTCTATCTCAGGTTACCTTACCTTGCTGCGGTCCCGAACCTGAATAACCTGATCGGCACCTCGTCATTCGACTTTCTTTCTCCTGTTGCTTCCCGACCACCGAAATACCAGTCCCATTTCCTCTCGTCTCTTGACCCGACGCTTCCCGCCGGCACACCAAAGAGAGACCCGGAGAGTGCGTCCTTGTGTGGGAAAGGCTGCTGCCCAACCCCTTCACCCCTCCAACCTTCCCGGCTCCTCCAACTGAAGGCCCTACGGATACCTACAAACTGTCGTACCATCACCTCCCCTCCTCGCCACTACTTTACTCTACCTCAACTTCAGCCTCGTCATACATTTTGACATTTCCACCAACAGCAGCCAGACAGACGACATCTCCTCGCCTTCTGTCACCGAATGACTTTGCGCATGCCGGTCCCCTGTGCAGTTTGCCGCTGAGCCACTGCCGGCTGCCGGTCGATACCTCTTCACCTTATCCAACGTCAACAACTCTTTCTGGCGCCACTATCGCCAGACTCGATTACCCCCTCGGCTGCCGCGCCGTGCGCCGAACCCTCCGCCACTTTTAGATACCATACACACGACACTGAGCCTCGATCTCAGGCCCTTTCTTTTTCCCTTTCACTCAGTAACGACCCGATACGATATCCAACCATGCGTACTCCTAGAATAGCCATTCTCGTTCTCTTCTTCGCCGCTTCGCTCTTCCTCTTCTGCCGGTCCATCACCTCACTGGCGCGCTCCTCCTCCTCCGCCGCCTCCTCCTCTCCCGTCATTGCCGCCCCAGTCGCCGTACCGCGATCACGATTCACGAGTTTCTTCTCCTTTACAGCGCCCTTTTCCATTTTCCAGCCGAATGCCGCCATCAGTCTGACCGATGACAACAGCACTTCCTTTGTCGCTCGCCCTGCTGCATTTGGCCCCAACCTGCCCAATAAGGGCTTGAGCGGTCAGCTATGGATCGGCAGTGGTTTCGCCGACGATAATCTCCAGGAGGGCGAGGGCGAGGGTGAGTTGGGATGCAGTGACATCCCTGGTTGGGACGATGGCAAGGCCAACGCCGTCCTCAAGACTGCCACCAAGGGCATGTCCAAGTCTTCCAACAAGGCTGCTGCTGCTGCCGGCAAGCCTGGTCACCACAAGCGCGACAAGACCGACAAGGACGCCGTGCCCGACGCCGTGGGTGTCCCCGTCACCCGCCTCAGGTCCAAGATTCGCCCAGCCGACGACGGCACCGACGATTACCTCCACCAAGGCCTCGCCCGGAGGCCCCAGCCCAACCACGATAGCGCCCCGTCCACCGAGTCGACCCACGCCGATATCCAATCGATACAAGAGGCTGCGGAGATCGCCGGGAAGATCGTGCTGCTTAGTCGCGGCGGCTGCGGTTTCTTGGAAAAGGTCAAATGGGCGCAGCGACGTGGTGCCATGGCCCTCATTGTGGGCGATAACACAAAGGGGGGTCCCTTGATCCAGATGTTTGCGAGGGGCGATACCTCCAACGTCTCTATTCCCTCTGTCTTCACCACCCGGACCACGGCGCACTTGCTGTCGTCGCTGACGCAACCCGGCAGCTTCATCGAAGACACTCTCGACGAGCACGGCCGCCCAGCCCTCAAGGTGCTACAGTCCGACGCAGGGAGCCGGAAGAACAGGAAGAACAAACAAAAGGCTGCGGCGACGACGCCGACCCCGACCCCCAAGGCTACGGCAACGCCCAAGGCCAAGGCTGCCGCAAAGGGAAAGCCGGCCAAGGCCGAGCACAAGGCAGCCAAGCCCCGCACCAGCCTGTTCCGTTGGCTCTTTAGCTGGGGTCGCAGTTCACGATCAGGCGACAGCATCCAGCCCCCGAGCAGCGGTCGCCATAACTGGGTGCTCGTTGACGACTGGAGCGAGGAGAAGGACAGGGTCATCCGAGACGGTCTCGGCAAGGCTGCCAAGAGGGGCAAAGGCAAGGTCCCCGACGCTCGCAAGAGCGAAGACACGTTCCAAATCGGTGTTCAGGACTGGCGGGATCCCGACTTGGTGGATGCCCCCAGTTCCAAAGACAAGACCGAGGGCGCAGCCAAGGAGCAGCAGGTTGGCAAGCCTGGCAGCACCGCGAAAAGTGGCAAGGACGTCACCGGCCCCAAGGGCGGAAGCATCACTCCCGGAAGCGGCGAATACAACCCCGATTTGCCGCCCGTCGAGACCGAGGGATCCACCTCCGGAAAGGAGACCGCAGCCCACGGCGGTATCATGTCCAAGATCTTTGGAGAAGACGACGGCGCCGACTTCTCCAAGGAGGACAAGCCCAAGGATCCCCCGCGGCCCGAGGAGCCCATCCCCGACGATGGTGACAACGACGACGGCAATGAGCCTATTGGGCACGATGGTCTCTGGGTTACGATCACGCCTTCAAGCAGCTCTAGTCCCTTCTTCGACACTCTGTTGGTGCTTGTGATCAGCCCTCTGATCACTCTGAGCGTCGTCTATGCTTTGCTGATCCTCCGCGCGCGCATTCGTAGAAGACGCTGGAGGGCACCCAAGTCGGTCGTCGAGCGTTTGCCTGTTCGCACATACCACACCGTCGCGGCGTCACCTGTTCCCTCGCCGAGAACCCCGTCACCGACGAGCCCAACACCCACTACGCCTCTGCTACAGCAGACGCCCTCCCGACCACGGCCTCGTTCTAGAACGACGACGGGCATCCCCGAGTCGGAGAGCTTGCTATCTGTCAACTCGGCACTGCAAATGCCTAGGTCGCCACTGCGGACAGAGCACGAAAAGGCAAACGGCAGCTACTCGAGTGAGTGGAAGAAGTACATGGGCAGACAGGTCGAATGCGTGGTTTGTTTGGAGGAGTACGTTGACGGCGTCAGCCGCGTCATGAGCTTGCCCTGTGGCCACGAATTCCACGCCGAGTGCATGTGAGTTGATCCGCCCCTCTTTCTGTACGTTCACAGTACTGACATTTTTCAGCACGCCTTGGTTGACGACACGCCGCCGCACATGCCCCATCTGCAAGGGTGATGTTGTCCGCTCTCTTGCACGCGGCTCTCCCTCCAGCCCCCGCTATGAACCGTATCACGACGACTCTGACGATGAGGTGGAGGCCGAGGCGTCCGGCTCGCGGGACAGAGACGAGGACGTGGAGCAGGGTGGCATCCTTTCGCCCGCGCCAAGGGGTCGCCAGACCCGGCCCGACGGATGGCTGGGGATGTTGTCCGGTAGCTTTGGGGCATCGTCCCGCGCCAGTCGATCGTCGCAGGATGATCGTAACCGGTGAAGTCGGTTCATTCATCGACTGAGGATGTCGCATCACCTCTCAACGCTAGCATTTTGTTTTCTTCTGATTTTTACGTTTGGCACTTTTGGAGGTTGCTTTTTCTTTCAGGCATGGATTGGGAAGCACTAGTCCCACGGGAAACGGGACACATGGCGTAATTAGGGGTTTCTTAGGGGAGAGAAGGGCTTTCTCTTGGGCACATTGGCAAAGGGTTTTGTTTTTTGGGGGCAGCATGGCCGAGAGGTGAAGAAAGAAACCAAGACTCGAAATGGCCCGGGAGAGAAATGGGAGGGACCTCACTACACTCGTTTCGATTGTTGTCCTGGACGTAAGGTTTTTTGCTTTTTTTGCGGATGGTTGTGATCCTTCAGGCCTGAAGGATGTGAGTAGACGGGCGGGCGAAGTGAAGAGAGTGGCTGTGGCTGTGGTGCGGTGTGGTGCGAGGTGGCCGATATACCCGTCGTCTCGTCCCCAACTGGCGATCGGGGGGCGGACGCGCTCTTGGAATAATGAATTCCATTGACTATGACACTTTTATCTGTGACATGGTGACTGTGCGATGATGGGTGAGTTTATCAGATGTGTTACGTGCGAAGAAATAATGAAGTGAACTGAAGTATTGGCATTATGATTTGTAGTATCTGGGCGTTTCCAAGAAAAGATGGAACGTATGTTTGGGGTATCTTATATCCTATGTACGCCTGGCCATGTCCGCGGGTTGAAGCCTTGTTTCTGTTTCTGTGCGAGTTGTACCGAGGAGCTTGCCTCTTCGTAGTTGAACGAGCTCCCCCGCCACCGTTCCTATTCCTGTCGGGTGAAGAGTGTAGGCAACAATGTGGGTGACTTCTTCGATTGAAGAAGGGTGGCAGTCGATCGGTAGTAGAGATCTTTAGGACGGTATGTCATAGTCGGGGTGAGAGCGTCGGTATAGATACGGCTTGTACCAACTTAAGCCAGAGTGAGATTATGCTCTCCCTCTATCTACCGTCATGGTGGGAGAGGTCGAGTGGGTGAAAGGTTCAGATGTCGTTGTAGAAGATCATGCGGGGCATATCGCGCTCGGCGACGGCGTGGAGGTATGCTGAGCCCGGGTGGGGTGCGGTCGTTACGGAGCCTGCTGTTGGTGGTGTCGTTGGTGGTGTTGAGGAGGAGGGGGGTGGTGTTGATGTGTTTTGAGATGTGGTCACGACGGTGTTCGTGTTTGTGGGCGGGGAGAGGGGTTGGTTTGGCGAGGGGGGTTGTTGGGTTAGGAGGTGGGTTCTTTTGGGGCCTTTTGGGAAGGTTCTGGGGGGGTTGTTAGTTAGGTTTATGAGATTGGGGTGGTGTTTGAAGTGGGTGTGATGAGAGTGAGGTTAGAGGTGAGGCTTGGATACGTGTATGAGAGACATAGTGTTGCGAGATGTAGGAGAAGTTTGGAGACAAGGGTGGATAGCCGAAGAAGACTTGTGAGTATGAGAGCAGGTTGACTGAAGAAGATGCCAACGGTATGATGGAATGATATCACACATAGCTACTCGTGTCTTCTCCATCAAAAAACAGGGGGCTGAAAAGTCCATATCCACTTCTCACATTCATATGACACAGAGTAAAATATAGAGCAACTTACAACGCGGTACTCAACGACCCGTAAAACAGATTCGCCTCCTCACTCGGTCCCTCAGAATCAACCGCTCTAGCCCAGAGAAACTCGCGCGCCTTCTCCACAGCGGCGTCGATGCGCTCGTGGAGGCTCGGGAAGAAGGGGCGTAGGGAGAGGAGGGAGAGGACGAGGCCTTGCGGGCCGGAGGCGAAGCCACGGGAACGTGGGCGTGATGCCGCTTCTGAGGGCTCTTGTTGTGTTGGTGTTGGCGGTGCGTCTGAGGACTGTTGTACATCACTTCGAGGAGGTTGTGAATCTGGTGAAGGTGAGGTGGGTGGTGGGGCCGGCCAGTCGCCGTTGGGAAGCTGGAGGTCTAGGAGGGCTGCGAGGCGGGATGTCAATGACGGAGAGGCCGCGAGGGGAGGGGATGTGAGGACGAGTTGGGTTATTATGCCTAGGTCGCCGTGAGTTGTGCCGTGGGTGTCTTCTGGTGGCGGCGGTGGTGATGAATGAGGTGACTGTGACGACGACGGTGATCGGGAGGGACACGTCCAGGGATGTGGGCCGAGGAGGTACTCTGACACGTGGACTATCGCGCCGCAGACGAGGGGCGCGGAGGAGGGGACCCAGTGGCGGATTAGGCGGAGGAGGTAGAGTGTTCCTGCAAGGCCGTGGAGGAGGCAGCTTGGCAGGGGTGGTGTTGTCGCTGTTATGGGTTCTGGGGCGTCTAGGTCCATTGCTGAGGAGGAGTTTGTCGTCGGTGCTGAAGGAGACGAAGTGGCATTTGCATTGGAGGAGATGATGTGTTCCAACACGGGAGAGAGGATGGCGAGAAACTTGCGGACGTGGAGGAGGTCTTTCGTCACGCAGGCGCGGACGGCGGGGCCGGCTAGGTCATCGGAGAGGAGGCCTAGGACGGGCGTGTCTCGTGCTGTGTCTCGTGTACTAGACGGCAGAGATATCGGGGCGGACGGGGTCGGGATGTTGGAGATGTAGGCGCGGGCCCAGTGGATGGCCGGGTAGGAGTGGATCTGGAGGCGGGGGTGGTGTGCCGAGACGGAGAGGAAGAGGTAGGCTGTGCCGGTGTGTGATGTCGGGAGGCCGGTGAGGGTTGCGGGCGGGTGGGTTGATTGGGGCGGGGAGAGGGAGAGGGTTTTGGAGAGGTGGGTTAGGATTTTGGTTGTCTGGGTCGAGGGGTCGTCCATTGTTTTGTTTATTGACGTTTAAAGGTGTTGGGATGACTTGAGATAAGTTGAATGAGATGAGTTGTGTATGAGTGCGGTGTGAGTGAGGTATGTGAGAAAGAGGATGAGTGAGTAAGTGGGTGAGTGAGATGTGATGTGTAAGACAAGTGAGATGAGGTTGCGCGACTCTCATGGAGCTTGGGTAAGGTGAGGTGCCTTACTTTCAGCTGTGGTCGTGTGAGGTCGGTGTAAGGCGGCGGTGACCGTTCCGGGTGCGGGGGGCAGGAATGCGGGGTTGGAGGCGGTGGGAGTCGCATGCTGCACCCAGGGGGCCAGGCACTGACACTCAGGGGCTCCCGGGGGGAGGTTGGGGGAGCCGCGGGGGTTCGGATCGTCGTGGCGGGGCACGCGCGGGCTTGGCCCTGGGGTTCGGGGCGTTGAAGTGGGGCTCTGCTCCGTGGATAAAGGAGGGTGGCTGTTAGGTACTGTTTATCATCACGGGCTAGGCTAGGTCGCCATGAATTTTGATGAGTTTATGTGTCGGTTTTCGGATGGACTGTATAAGGACAGGGACGATGTATACATAGTGCGTCTTTCTGGTTATATTTGTAGAGAGATTCTGAGTACTTGGCTCCAGACTTGGGACTTCATCGTCATCGTTGTTATAAGTATACATGATGCTGGACCTTTGGTGAAATCTATGTATTTACTTGAAGGTTTCGAATCAAGTATAAGGCTTTTACTGTACTTGACTTTCATTATGAGTTTAGTCGCCTTGGAATGAGATGGCGTCGAGCATATGAACATGAATTGCTGAAACTCTGCTGCTTAAAAAGTAATCATGAATTTGTATTGCATTGGCATGATTTTTACATTTCGGCATCTAAGTATGAGTAGCATACCGTACGCTCTCTTACATTGATGTACATAGTCTCGGCTTTTGGTTTGTCTATAACTTCCCCTCACTCAGTGGTCTATATTCGACAGGAACCATATTAGCGTCAGGAGGTAGTCACAGAATATTGTATCGTCTGTGAGTGTGCAGCTTCAGTACAGGCTCATAATTGCTCAAGCATTTCGCCTCGGAAGGAAAACTTGAGATGTCGTTGCGTGGTTAGAAGATGGTTGATGAGTGAAGGTGTAAAGAATCAAATAGCCGTCCACAATAAGGCACGCTACACTGTAGACCGTCAATGAGTCTCGCAGGTAATATCCCACACATCAGAATTCCAATGGAAACTGAGCCATCTTCCAACAGCTCTTGATTGTCAAATCGCAAGAGAACTTGCTGGGTCGAGATTCGCGAGCTGCATGTCTCACATGAATTCATCTGAATACAGCATGCGGGGTTACACTTCTTCGGGAGGCGTCGGCCGAGGCGTCCGCCACCACCACCATGGCTTCGAACGACATAAGAGTCAATCTCACCTATTTGACCTCAACTCACACAATTCAAACCTCTCACATCATCAAATAGCAAGCCCTTTAAAGTCCAAACACGAACTCTCCCAATCCGCGAACATGTCCGACCCGCTCCCAAAACTAATCACTCTAGAAGAACACTTCGTCGCAAAAGACCTCTTCACAGAACTCTCCGACATATACTCGGAACAACTCAAACACCTCCCCGAGGTCTCATCCCGCCTCCAAGACGTCGGGCCCCTCCGCCTCGCCAACATGGACGAAACCCGCATCAGCCTGCAAATCGTATCCCACGCGCCCGGCCTCGGCCCCCGCGCCCCGCACCTGAGCCGCCTCGCAAACGACCACCTCGCGGCCGCCGTACGCGCCAACGCCAAACGCTTCGCAGGGTTCGCTGTGCTACCGATGGCCGACGCGGACGCCGCGGCGACGGAACTCCGGCGCTGTGTCCGGGAGCTGAGGTTCGTTGGCGCGTTGGTCGACGCGCACGTTGACGGACACCACTACGACGACAGACGTTTCTGGCCCGTCTTCCAGGCGGCTGCGGAGCTCGACGTGCCGGTGTACTTACACCCTACCTACCCCTCCGAGAGCCAGCGGCCCGCGTACGAGGGCAACTTTGACCCCGGCGCGGCGCGGAGCATGGGATCCAGCGGGTTCGGATGGCACTCTGAAACGGGACTCGCCGTGCTCAAGCTCTTCGCCGCGGGCCTCTTTGACGAGTACCCGTCCCTGAAAATCATCATTGGGCATTTCGGGGAGATGTTACCCTTCATGATGGAGCGCGTGGAAAAGCTCTCGGTGCGGTGGGGTCCGCGGCGGCGCGGGTGGCGGGAGGTGTGGGAGGGCAACGTGTGGGTTACCACGAGCGGGGTGTGGGGTCTCGCGCCGCTGGCGTGCGTGTTGCGGAACACGCCCGTGGAACATATTTTGTATAGCGTCGATTACCCGTTTGAGAAGAACGAGAACGGGCTCGCGTGGATGAGGGAGCTGAGGGATAGTGGGATGGTGACGGGGGAGCAGCTTGAGATGATTGCGTTTCGGAATGCTGAGAGGTTGCTGAGGGTTCAGGCGCCGTGATGGTGCGTGGGAGTGTACTACTGTGTAAGTGAGTTAAAGTGGGTGACTGGAAGGTGGTCTCTAGGGGATATCGAGTCTAATTTCTTTTGGACTTGAAGAAATCAATAGACCCCGTTTCCCTCTCCATCCGTCACGATTGTGAGTCGTGACTGGCTCAGACCCCCATCTCCACGGCCCCGTTCCCTCCCACAATTATCGTCTCTCCCCTTCCGCCCCGCCCACGATGCCCTCTCTCGCTTCTTGGTACCACCCACCACAGCCACTCCCACACAAGATCGTCTCTATGGCTCAGTCGGTAGAGCGTTGGTCTCATATCAAATACATATGACTCTGGGAAACATCTCGGGGGTTATCCAAAGGTCGCAAGTTCGAGCCTTGCTAGGGACATTACGTTTTGCTGGTTGTGCAAACGGTCAACCTTTTGGCAAGAGCATGTTTTGCCAGATTGGATGTGATGCCTATTACGGCCTGGGTCATGTTCTGGTTTCTGAAAAGAAAGTCTCGAGTAAGAACTAGATTGAAATATTAAGCTGGCCTTTAGAACACACTCATAATTCGTTCTCTGATCAACAGGACCAATGCAACAAGTTGCCAGCCTGGTGATGTTGATTAATGATTTGCATGTCTGTCGACTTAGTTCTAAACCGCAGACGAGAATTCCCCAAGAACATGGACAGGCCTCAAAGTATGTCTCGCAACCAACAATCTTGCCATGATATGATCCTACATACGTACACTGAGCAAAGACATACTTCTTCCTACACCCATTGACCTCACTGAGCATTCCATCAACTCGTCCTTCCAATCTTTCCACTTTGCAAACGCGTGTGTTTGTGAAGTGGGTCACCCTTCCACCCCGCACCACACAACACCTCACCCCCCAAAATAGCCACCAAAACCGAAAATCCACATCCCACGACTTCATCTCCTTCGACGAGGCGCATGTGTCACCACAACAAACAAAAGAATTGCGTCGAGGGGGAATCGAACCCCCGGCTCCCCGACGCTGCTGGATGGCAACGGAGAATTTTACCACTAAACCATCGACGCTTGATGAAATGTACTGGTGATTTGAGATGATGCTTGCCGCTGAGAGTTAGATTATCTTTGTGGTGGGTGGAGCGTAGCTTAGGGCTGGAGACTAGAGTCGGCGTCGTGTAATCTGGAAAATGGGGCCGATTCTGGGTCCGGGGGTCCGTGTTCGGCCGGGATGAGGATGTTCCCCGACGGCGGGTTGACTTGTGAGGTTAGGAGGTTCTGGGGACTGATATCTTTGCGATCGTGGGTTCTGGGTGGGTCGTAGGCTCTTATATATTCTTGAGTTTGCTCAGTTTGAGAGCAGCAATGAATATACTTCATTCTCTCAGCCAGGGTCGGCTGCGTCGTATCTACTGGTGGAATTAGACCTTGAAAAGGCTGGACAAACAGTCTCGTATTCGATAGCCCATCCCATTGTAAATTAGGGAAGGTATTATTTTCTGGAAATTTTCTTCACTGCTGTCTTGATCATTTGAGAACGCGTTTGATGATTTCTTGTCCCGGTTTGATTGTTGTTGTGGTTTCCAAAATTCGAATGTTTACTAGACTTCTATTTGGTAGGAGGGGAGACTTGAAGATCAATCTACCCGCGCCATCCCTCGCTCCGGAAATCGCCAGGCTTGAAGAGAAACATGTGCCGAGCATTGAGCTTTGTGACAGGAGGCGGGTGTTTGGCATCTGACATATGCCAGCATCAATCACATTCAGATTCTCTTTTCGTGGACAGAAACGATGAATGATTCGGCTGGCGATGAGACTGACTGAGAGGCAACAAGTGGATGATCGACTTTGAACACGACGAGCTGTACTCTTGATGCTCTTAGTAAGACGACCGGAGAGTTGAGCTACGTGTACGATGATCTTGATCATCCATCTGCAATAACGCGTCTTAGGTCGTAAAAAGCCGCAAGTACCCTCGACTTTCATGGCTGTTCAAGAGCTGACAAGTGGGTGACCAAATAGGTTGCCGGTCAACACACGACTAGCCGTCTTCTTAGAGCCACTATAGCTGCTGTAATCACTTATTACTTTTCAAAGCGTACCTTGTGAGGTATGAATGGGAAATAAATAGTGATAAACAGGAATAGCAGTAATAAAGCAAAGGCATCAAACAGCAAGCTATCGTGTCACCCATCCTCTCACACATCACCACGACACTATATCCGAGAGGTAACACATATTCAAGTCACAAAAGACCTGTGTAACTTAAACCACCTAGTCTCTCACTTTCCATAGCTAGCTTATGGCGGAACGGTTTAGTACTCACACGATTCACCCCATCAAGCCCACGATAGCTCCAAGCCGACAGATCTCATCTACCTTACCCTGCCTTCTTCTGGAAGGAGCCATTCTCAGAAGGAAGCACGAGCTCACGATGTACTCCCACCGCTAACCCAGACCGACATCTAAGCAGCCCTGCCACTCACCGCGCAGATTCTTCCTCGTCCCATCTAAAAGACGTTGTCACAAGTTTGTGTTCCTGGGAGGATCAATTTCATCGTGGCGGAAATGAAGTTAATGGAAGAAAGCTTTGAAGAAAGCTTTGAACAAAAATTGAACAAAAAACACCGTGGAAACAATACAATTTCATCCGTGCTGCATGCTCACAAGATAACGTAGCTCCATATCTGACGAGGTGACGGCAGACTCTAGTCTGAGAATCCTCGGCGTGGTATCTCAAGAGAATCATACATATATGTCTTTTATTTCCACTTAGAAATGGACACCATCCAGGCCAGTCACAATTCTACAAGCCTATGAAGGAGAACAGCAAAAGGCAACGGCAAACACTGAGCACGCAATGCAACCACGAGAACAGCCAAATCGTCCGCGGACCCTTGCAGGATAGAATGCCATGATTCGCCGATCCAAACCCCGCCAGATGCGGGCAGATAACCAACGTCCGCTCCGCACTCAGAGGCCAGCGGCGCACGCGACAAGCGCACCTCTGACCTTTCACCTCTCTCGGTCAGCGCCCATCGGGCCAGATGATTAATCCATGTCACGGCGGAAGCAACGCAAGCAATGCACGCTATCCGCGGCACGTTGCGGGTAAGAGCCGTGAGGAGCGGATGACCGCACAGAATACGGACCGCAATCAGAGATATGAAGACAAAAACCCCCATCGAGGCTGGAACAGGCAATCCCGTGCGGTTTCGTGGGGGTATTGAGTTTATGATTCCATTAGAGTCGGAACCGGAAACCCGGGTTGACTGGGGTCGGAGAGGTGTCAGGGATGGAGGTAGCTCGAAGGAACTCTACTGGCTGGGTTAAATCGAGCATCCCGTTCCGGACTTGGAACCTTGAAAGCCCATCCGCCGTTGCTCGCCTGCAGCTACGATTATTCTAGGTTGGAGGCTGACTAGATATAGACCTCGTTGAGTGAGGTGAGTGAGACGCGCCCGGAGACGCTCAGATCATCGTCGACTTCAGACGGTGCGGCACCGTGGAGCAACCTGACGCGGACCCCGGTGCTGAAGCTCTGCTGCGACTGCTGCAAGCTTGCTAGACCGGGGAGGAGGAATGAACGCCTTTAAGTTGGGTTGACGAGTGTATAAGAAGCTTGCCGGGCCTGCCATGCATCTCCCGCGCGGACGAACCGGACATGTCACGATCTCCACGATTTACGGCCCAACAGATTGCTGCAGTTGACTAATCCGCGTCCCAACCGTACAACGTATTGCCGCATTGTCTACCGGACATCGCACCATAGACGAGATTTAGCCGACGGATGGAGCGGAAGAGAACAAGACACTCTCGGCGCCAGTATTTAAGGAAGTGTCCTTCCCGTGATCCTCTCTTCTCACGTCGCTCAGCGGCCTCTTTACGCATCACAGTCGCAACAACGGCTCTCCAACAGATGGGTGTGCATCATTGTGTGTCTGTGTAGCGATTTTTGCCCAGCCGTTTCCTACCCCCCGCGCTGCAGAATTACTCGGGTGTGTGTGCGTGTGAGTGCTGTGTATCGGCGCAGTGTGTTTGTTGGTGTGGATGAGTATCCGTGGTGCCCCCCTCCCCAAATCCCCGCATTCTGTTTACCCCTCGCGCCCCGCCTCGCGACATTCTTCCCCCGACTTGGCCGAGTTCCGTCGTTTTCTCCGCCGGCCGTCGACTCTCGAGTCCAAGTCACCCCCCCGCTGATCGATCGGCTCTAAGCAGACGCTCCAGCTTCGCCAGGCCGACGGCCGAGTCCGCGGGACACACTTGGGTCAGCCCTCCGCCGAGCACATTTTGCGAGCAAAAACTTCACCACCTCCGCCATCGACGACGAACCCTTCAAACGCGTCCAACGAGCATCATGTGGTCCAACAAGCGTTCTTCTCCCCCCGCGCCCGGTAGCCCAACCGAGGTGGAGGCTCCTGCGCCCGTATCCTCCAGACAGAAGAACCCCGGTCGTCGCATTGCCCAGATTGTGAAGCTCAAGCCCGAGTTCATCGACAAGTACAAGGAGGTCCACGCCAACGTCTGGCCCGAGGTGCTCAAGCAGATCAAGGAGTGCAACATTGTCGACTGTAAGTCATCCGCCGGTGTCGGCCCCAACACGGCAGACTGCGAATTCCGATGTCGAGTGACTTTTCAAAGCTGACTTTCAACAGACAGCATTTGGCACGAGCCCGATTCACGTATTCTGTTTGCGACCATGAAGTATGTCGGCTACGACTTTGCCGGAGACATGGAGAAGATGAAGGAGAACCCCAAGGTCCGCGAATGGTGGGCCATGACCGACGGCTGGCAAGAGTCTCTGGTTCCCGGCGCGGTAAGCAGTGAAGCAGGCGAGCCGGCGTGGTGGAAGCCCGTCGAGGAGGTGTTCTACACGCCTTGAGAGAGAGAAGTTTGGTGGGATGAGGGGATCGAGTGTATTGCATTATTAGTCAACGACCAGCCGAATGATGAGCGTTTCGTTTTGATCGCGTTCGGTGCCCTTGTCTGCCTCGTGCTGCCAAATGCACCAGACACATAGTTTCGCTGCAAGCACGCACCCGATTGGTGACCCGGCCGAGCGTCCGTCTTGATCATTTGAAACCACCAAACAAACCTCCAAAGACGCCGCCGGATCCTCCGCCACCTCCGCGCTGGCCGTGCCGCCGAGCCTCAGACCTGATCCACTCTTCGAGGAAAGCGCGGTCTGTCAGCTTCTTGGCGTCGTGAACCTTGGTCTGTATTTGGGCCTCTTGGTTGTCGAAGCTTAGCAGAGTTGGGATGGAGGTGATCATGTAGGTCATGCCCAGTCCTCCGCTCATGACGTCGGGAGAGTCAAATTCGACGGTGCAGTAGCCAACGCCGCCCTCGGCTTCACCGACACCAGACTCTACGATGGATTGTATTAGAGGGGCAACGACTCGACATGTTCCGCACCAAGACGTGGTCCACAGTGTTATCAGTGGTGTGTGAGAAGAGGAAGAGAGAAGTTGATAGGTGTGGAAGTCGTCAGGACGGCGAACACTGGCACCCGAAGCAGAGGTTAGCGGGCGGGTGCTTTCGAGAGAGGCAGGCCAGTGCAAGGATTGGGTTGGGGGTTTGGAGAATCTGCGGCGGCCCACTTACGATGCGTAGATCTGGTTTTTGGCCGGGCTGGTACGAGACGTGGAGAAGTGGGCAGCGGCGGCAGAGATGAATTGTTTGGGGGGTGGCATACGGACGTCATTGGTGAGGTTGGTGTTGCAGCCCCGGAAAGCGGTGCGGGCGGTATGTCTTAGTAGTTGCATGGTGATTCTGCTGCAGGATACAGAGTATGGTGAATGTCGGTTGTTTGGTTACTTTGATCTGTTCAGATGCCAAGGATGTATGCAGCGTGCTGCCGACTGACGTCGTTGAAGATGATCCCGTGATGTGTCGTGATGCGAGTCGTACCGCTGAGATGCGATAGAATTCTTGGACAAGAACGAGTGGAGGGCTGCAGGCGGTAAGGTAGCTGTTGGAGTACCTGTGGTATGGGGCAAGCTAAGGTAGGAAAGATATCTTTGGATCAAGTGGTTCGATATAGTACAGGGTGGTGGATGGATGGTTATGTAGCGTCAACGGTTTTCCGAGCAGCTGGACAGCTTAGTCGAGACTCAAGGTTGGGGAGGGAGGGAATGATGTAGGTACCTTAGTATTACTTAAGGTAAGGTAGGTAGCTGTCGTTGTCAATGACGGGGAAAGCCGACGTTCAACTGGAGGTTCGGTAGCAATCGAAATAGACAGCAGGCGCACCTTCCTTCCTGACAGGCGCGCCGTCACGCTTAAACCACGGCAGGCTCCATTGGGGAAGGCGGCGTAGGAATATGTGGGGTCAAGCCTTTTCGCGCACGCGGCACGATGACGTTGAGGCTGTATGACATAAGCAATTCCGCAGGGGTCCACCTCAGGCTTCAGGGAAGCACAGGGCAGGCACGGCAGGGAAGGAGTCAAGGACGCCAACGGCAAGTGCGGTAAGGTAAGGTAGGTGCAGCCTGGGCAGGTGCAGCCCGTCTGTATTTACTGCACGCTGGGCGCCCAGACACGGCGCCTGCTGTTTTTGTCTTGAGCTTCGCACTCTGACTCTGCCAAGGTACTTTGTAGCCTGTACTTTTGCCGGGCGACAGGAGGTTCCCAATTAATTGTTCCTCGTCTTATTTTCCGTCCACCACCACTCAGCCGCATTTTAATCGCGGCGCACGACAACGACAAGACAACGACGAGACTATACTTCAGACACGCGCGCGTTATCCAACCTTTTTCCCTGCGACGGGCAGTCCGCAGAAGGATACACGAGCCCATCCCTCCTTCACGAATCTCACCAGGCCATGGGGTCGGTCTCACTTTTGGGGGGGGGAACAAGAAAGCTCCATTCCATCCGAGCCCGAGGTCAGCAGAGACGAGCAAAACATGCAGATGGTGCCCTGATGGTGGTGGTCTGGCACTGCTCGGGTTGCTCCGAGACCCCAAGACATCAACGAATACCTACACTACCTGCCAAATACGTGCTCTCAATCTCCAGTGACTGGACGAAGGAGGCCGTCGGTCTATCCGTACTATCAACAACGTTGGAGTACCCATCACCCAACAGCACTGAATGATGGAATTTGGATTATTGGATATTCCTTGGATGATGGATCTGGTGTCACCGCCTTCGCCACCATCTTCGACCGCCGATTCACATGGTCCAAGTGGAGAAGATGCGCCCAAGACCTGGAAGTCTCCCTGATACGCCTGAGTCCCTGTCACCCACCCAGTCACCCACGGACTCGAGCAAGGGATTTTAGCCTCGCTTTTAGGGGTCCTGCAATCCGGGGCCAGCATGCAGACGCGTATTGGCTGTCGGCGGCATTTGGAGTTGGACATGTGGCCCTTTTACCTCACCTCCTTTGTCGACCAAGGCTATCGCCGCTATCCTCCAGTCTTCAAGTGCCTCTCGAGCGCCCCTCCGCAGGCTATCTGCTGCATATTGCCTGGTGCCAATACCACAAAGGTGAAAGCACGGATACACACGACCTGCAGTCTGCCAGGACTGAGGAGAGACACCGCCGCCCTCGCCGCCAGCGCCGCATCCATCCCTGAATCCTTGATCGATCATCGCACTTCAGGCGCGCAGTACCCCCCGTCGCACGCACCCGCCAACGTCGAGTCACCTGCCAATCTGTCCAGACCGCGTTGAGTCTATCCAGTGGATGAAGGGCCATCTCGAGACTTGACCCCTCCAGTTGCTCAAATATTCCCCACGGAACCCGCCCGACGCGACGCACCTGGCACCCACAAACAGAAAACCCCACCAGCTGATTCTGCAAGCCTGCAAGCTACTACGACTGCGTACGAATACGGTCCTATTGGTACTTTTATTACGGATACCTTGCCATACCGCTGATGCTGTTTCTGCTGCTGCTGCTGGGCATGAATGGCATCTCGTCTTCCTTGCCTCCTGTGCGCGGTGCTTGACTCGGTGACCGGCCAATCCTGACAACCAAGCGCCGATATCTCATTTCATCCCATGTTCCTTTCCCCCAGGCTTGCGGCTTGCGGTTTGCCAGGGCACGATAACATTGCGTCCCTCTTCATACCAACATAAAGCTCGAGGTTCATCCTTGATGTCCTGGTCGTCTGCCCCTACGTGAGACGCAGCCCCCCCTCGCTCTCTTAATCACAACCAAACGGCGCGTTACCAGTCTGACGCCATCGTTCTGCACGGACCTGGATAGTTTCTCCTCTCTTTCTCTCTCTCACACACTGCGCAGTGCGCGCAGCCCATCATCTGCCATCGAGGTTGGCCTCGTTGTTGACATCCCAAACGTTATTTCCATCGACATCTTCATTGCGCCGACACCTCTTCTACCCCATATCTCCCACTTATTCCCCTCCTCTCCTCCATCCAAGGTCTCGTTCTAGAGTTGTCGCTCTTCACCGCCTCCGCATGCATCGTCTAGCACCCGCGTAGGGGCTTTCCAGAAGAATTTGTGTTTCTCTCGAAAGCGCATAGTCGTACTGCCTCGGCATCTGCCTTCATCCGGCTCTTGGACATCTGCAACCTTATCTCATCTTTTTGGATGCACGGTCGAACCAAGACACATTTTGCTCGACCGATTTTAGGACAAATCTTCTGTCGACCCCTCGTGCCCAACGACATCCTTTTTTTCACCTGACCCTTCTCGCTCGTCCTTTCTCTGTCTTTTCTCCCTCGCCCGACAGCAACATCCGCATAGCTTGCCGTTGTAGTCGACCAAAGCGACAGCAAACAGAGGTCCTTGGCCCTGCCGTTCCTGGCTGGGAAGATATCCTGTAGGCCATTTCAAAATGGCGGGTGTTCTCACGTGGAAGAGTCGCTTCGGTGGCGTCTTTGGGAACAAGAACAAATCCGACAGCGCCGAAGCTACAGATGACGAGAATACCAATATTCCAAAATGGAGTATGGGTGTTCTCAACGACCCCAAAACTATTGAAGTCCCTGGTAAGCAATCAAACCCCTTTCCGGTTTCCCGCTCCATGCCAAGGCCACCAAGTTGACACCCTGCAGGTTCTGTGCTTCTCCTCGCCGCGCATCGCAACGAGCCACTCGGCTTACGCAATGCGCCTGCAAGGACTTCCCACTCGTCCATCCCCACTGGTTTCCCGGAGCCGGTAGACACACCAACCGGCCGCCAATCTCCGGCCAACGCGGCCCCACCTGAGCCCGATGCAAAGACGACCAAGGACGGGATCATCCTCAACCCCCAGCCTGAGGAGTCTGCAAATGACCCTCTTAACTGGCCTTCATGGCGCCGCGATTGCGCTCTTCTGTCTCTTGGTTTCTACTGCATGGTCGGTGGTGGCATGACTCCCTTGCTTGCCGCCGGCTTCACCAACGTCGCCGAAGACTACCACATCGAGACCGAGACAGTCTCCCTGACTACTGGTCTGTACATGATGGGCATGGGTCTCGGTTCCGTCATCTTTTCTCCCACGGCTATTTTGTACGGAAAGAGGCCCGTCTACCTCTTCAGCTCCATCATATTCATCCTCAGCTCTGTGTGGGCAGCCCTGTCACCAAACTTCACCTCTCTCATCTTGGCTAGAATCTTTCAGGGTATTGCAGTCAGTCCCGTGGAGTGTCTTCCCTCCGCCACTATTGCGGAAATTTTCTTCCTTCATGAGAGAGCATTCCGAATCGGCATCTATACACTCCTGCTGCTCGGCGGCAAGAACCTCATCCCGCTCGTCAGTGCCCTCATCATTCAAGGTCTTGGATGGCGTTGGACTTTCTGGTAAACAGTCAACACCCATTGTCACACGACTTCATTGCTAACATGTGATCAGGATTGTCGCCATGATTGTTGCCTTTTGTGGCGTGCTCTTGTTCCTGTTCGTGCCAGAGACCTTCTGGGACCGAACACCGCTTCCCAAATCACGAAAGCCATCTCGCAGACCAAGCTTTACTCGCCGATTTTCATCACGCCATCACGTTCCCCAGGTCCACAACGCTCATGAAGATGCCGTTGTAGCTCCCACAGGTCCTCCACCACAGTCGCCGCACGTTGCTTCGCATCCGCACAAGGACCTCCACGTTGGATTTGCGCCAGACCCAAACGAGAAACAGGATGATGGCATCGACAAGCAGGTAAAGGACGCCAAGAATGACACGCCGGACTCTTCCAACCCGGTGCCCGTCTCGCGGACCTCTGGTGCGTCCGGCACACCCACCTCCGGATCGGATTACTTCCACAACGCCCCAGCTGTCGAAAGTGAAAAGTTCAAGATGCAAGCTTCCGACGTCAACTCGCCGCCAAAAGCCTTGGCATACACCCACACCCTCCGTCATCAACCGGCGAAATCATTCGCCGAGCAGCTCAAGCCCTGGAACGGCCGCCTGAACCACGACAGCTGGTTCAAAGTCATGCTCCGGCCCTTTGTCCTCTTCGCCTACCCCGCCGTGCTGTGGTCTGCTGCAGTCTACTCTCTCTCCGTCGGCTGGCTCATCGTCGTCTCCGAGTCGGTAGCCTTGATCTACCGCAACCGCGCGTCGTACAACTTTGACGCCCTACAGACGGGTCTCGTCTACCTATCCCCCTTTGTCGGCGGCATCCTCGGCACCGCCGTCGCAGGAAAAGTGAGCGACATCATCGTCAAGGCCATGGCCCGCCGCAACGGCGGCCTCTACGAGCCAGAGTTCCGCCTCGTCATGGCGGCGCCGGTGCTCGTGACCACCGTCATCGGCCTCATGGGCTTCGGTTGGTCCGCGCAGGAGCGCGACCACTGGATCGTGCCGACCATCTTCTTCGGCCTCATCTCGTTCGGCTGCACGCTGGGGTCCACGACGTCCATTACCTTTTGCGTCGACAGCTACCGGCAGTACGCGGGCGAGGCGCTCGTCACGCTCAACTTTAGCAAGAATATCTTCCACGGTCTCGTGTTCAGTCTGTTTGTCACGCACTGGCTTACCTCGGACGGACCCAAGATGGTGTTTATCTGGCTGGGCGTCATTCAGCTCATTTTCCTGTTTGCCACGGTTCCCATGTTCATTTACGGGAAGCGGGCGCGCATGTGGACTGTGAGGAAGAACTTTATGGAGAAGTTCTAGAGGCGCATTATCGGTTTTTCTCTGGTATTTTTTGCATGGAGTTGGAGTTTAGGGGATCTACAATTGCATTGCATCTACAAGTTTTATCCACCACTGGATGGGGTCTCCCAATGAGTCGGGTAGCATATTTCACGTGGGAATGAGGGCCAGGTATGCATTTATTGGATGGATTGGATTTTGACGACTTTTGCATTTTTTTTTTTTTCACGTTGGAACCAGGGCTTATATATGGCCTTTATTTGCCGATATTTGTTCTCATGATACCTTTAGAGTTGATATGACCTAGAACAAGTTCCAGAAGAAATCAATCGAATCTAGATGAAGTTATTTCCCTGAGGGTTTTGAAATCTGGAGTGCCGTAGAAACTTCACTTGTGGGACATGGGCTCTGTATGCCATCGCCGACGAGTTCCTGTTCTGAGTTGACTGCGGGTTGAGGGTGTCGTCGAGCTGAGTCAAAGTCGCTGATGAACGTGAGGGGATTGAATATTAGCTTACAACTTCATGCTTTCCTTAGAATGACACTCAACCGTTCTCCCCCATCCCCTTTAGACACAGCATCTTGAATTCCCATAATCACATTGAGGCGAGTGGTACGCAGTGAATGAAGAGGGAACGGTCACGAGGCACCACACGGAGAAGACTGCATCTGGAAGAATGGATGGAAGAGCAAAACTGACTTTTCTTTTCCCCCCTTTTTTGGGAAAAGAGTGATAGACGGTGTAGATCTACCGTGAAACAAGCGAAGAAGAAAACCAAGCATTGCAAGAAGAAGTAAAACCTGACTGTCCAAACCCTATCCGCCCCCCCCCCCCCCGTTTCAGATCCAACAGAAATCTAGTAAGCTAGCCGTCTTCACTACCTTGCCAGGGCACGCCGGTATTCCATCAGCCGGAATAGACCACGACTCATAAATAAGCGAGAGAGAGAGAGAGAGAGGATGAGAGAGGAGGGAGAGAGAGTGAGAGAGAGTCGGGCCTGCTTCTGACCCCACACTCTGGGGCATCAATACCGCGGCGGCTGCTGCTCTTTGTCGCTATCCGAGCCCGAGCCGGTGGCTTCCCGAATAACGAGCCCGCTAAGATACTGGTGAGAGGGACTGTTGGCGACCTGGGCCGTGGAGCTGGTTGATGACATTGAGGACTCTTGCTCTCCTCCTCCTCCTCCTGCTGCTTCAGCCTTGCGCGTGGGCGAGCGGGAGGGGGTGCCCTGGGTGTGGTTGGGGTGCGGGCGTGGACGTTGCGGGATCGAGGCATCTTGGGCACGCGAAGCCTCCCATTCTCTTCGCCGTTCGAGCAAATTCGCATACACCTGCTCTTGATCAATCTGAAGAGAAAGTCAGCACATGGAAATTTGGGCGGCGCGCTCTGTGGGAGTAAAAGGTTCAACGGGACTTACCTCGGTCACGGTCTCCACGTCTGGCTGAGGTTCTCTCTCGTCTGATATGTCCACTTCATCATCTTCTTCTCCGAGTTCCCCTTCATCTTCCTCACCATTGTCAGAAATCTCCTCTGGGTACACCGTATAGTCCGGGTTACTGTCATCCAAAGGACCGAAACAGTCCACGAGCCAGTCACTAAACGACTTTGCGATTCCCGTCTCTTCAGTGACCCCGGCCACGTCGGAAGCTTGACCGGTTGCCAGAGAGGTGGCGGCAGGGGAAGTCTTCGCCGGCAGCCATTTCCTATCATCCCACTGTGGAGGAATCCAGCCGAGGAACTCACTGACAGCGCTGACGCAACAATGTTCCCAAGGGTGAGGAGGAAGCTCGAGGTCGCCAAAGGGGAATGGTACTCCTTCCTTGCAAGGCCTGGAGTGCTCCCATACGACTGAGAAGAGGTGGTCTAGTAGAACGACGCGGGGCGTCTCGAGGTCGTGACCATTGCTGCGGATCGTGAGGAAGACGTTGCGGGGAAATATGTCGCGCATGGACACGCCTAGATGCATGCAGACAAAGATCTCCTTGAGGAAATCCTTGAAGGCGTTCAAGCACACTTTGCGGTCCAGTGATAGCATCTTGGCCTGGCCCTTACCCTCCGCCTCGGGATCGCTATGAAGCGAAACAGGCCTGCCTAGCGGCGGCTGGAGGTACCCGGTGTGACGGTCGCGATAACACATAGCCTCAATCGAAAGGCCTTCAATGTATTCGAGGAGAATGAGACCAACCCATTCGTCTACAGTCGCGTCGACGTTGAAAACCTTGCGATTGATGACCCAGCAGCCGTAATATTGAGCAATGATGTGAGGGTATCCGGACATCTCGTTCTCGTAGAAGAATTGGTACACCGCGGCCTCGCGGCAGAGCTCGCTGTACGCGACGGTGACGTCGTCAAAGGGGGGTTTCTGGGGCAAGTCGATGGCGTCGCGCATGGGATAGAGTCGAGGGTCGAATACGTTTGCGACGACGAAGCTGCCTCCCCGCCTCACCTTGCTGTGCTTGGGGAAAGTCGGGAAGGGTGCATGCTTCCTGATGTTGTCGCGGTCCGTAGGTCCTTGAACGACCTTGCAGAGCAGAATCTGAGAGCCAACGTCTCTGCCGGCTCGGAGTGACTCCACGATCTTGAGTCGGGGCTTCTTCAGCTTGAGCTCCTCCGCTGTGGGCTGGAGCGAGCGCGGCTGGTAATCGTCTTGGAAGGGCGGGAAATCCCCTGAGCCAAATGGCTCTGATGGGTCATGGGGTACGAGGTCGAGCTTCTCTCCGGGCGCATATCTCCTGGCGGCTACGTAGCGGATGTTCAAATCGTTCATGATGGCTGCTGCCGGGCTGGGGTGGACGTTGGAGGAAGGATTGCCGTTCGCAGGTGTTGTTGTAAGAAAGAGTGAAAAGAAAGAAAGAGAGAAAGCAAGAGACGTAGAGGTGCTGGACGGAGATAGATATAAGTGACCGAAAATAATCTGTTGGAGATGCCCGTGGACATGGACGTAAAAAGTGCTTGGCAGGCGGTATAAGCTGCAGGTGACGCGCAAATTTTCCCTTCCCACGGGTTCTATCATGTCCTCGCGAAGAAATAATCAGGAAAAGATTGGAAAAAGAAACCCAACGGGCAAAGGTTCGTCGGCCGCTTTAAACTGCAATGGGTGGGTTTCCCACATACATACCAAGCTGTGAGATGCCATCCGGGTGGCTACAGAGGTGGTGAAGATGGCCCTCCGCTGCATGGAAAACATCTCCTCTCATTACCTTCAGTACGAACGCGAGACACCAATAAATCGAGTCCCGTTGATAGAGCAAGAAGCAAGGAGAAGATGTGCCACCCACAGACCCAAGAGTAAAAAGGCAATTATTGCCATTGGAAGCCCAAAGCCCGTACCCCAAGGCTTGGCGGATATAAGGGCTCCAGACCACAGAGTTCAGGTTCTCGAATTGGAATCATCAGATACAGCTGTCCTCAGCAACACAGAGCGCAACGTGCTTGGCTGGATACTGGTAGCAGGAATAAGCCTTGATGAGAAAGCTCGCAGGCTCCATTTCTAAGAACAGCTGTGATGAAGGTCTTGCTCAAGGTTTTTACCATTAGCTGTAGCTGCATCGCCGAATACGCATGAGACAAGCAGCATAATTGAACACATGCAAAGGTATTGACGCCAGCATCGCCGTTCAGATAGGCATGAAGATATAGTCCTGCCAGTAGGCATCTCATAGTGTCAGCCCTTGCTCAGTCAGCCTTTGCTCAGTCAGCCTTTGCTCAGTCTCTCGGTAGTAGATACAGACAACGTGATGGAAAACCCAAAGAGGGACCCTTAGCGACCCTTATGACTTTCTCGCCCACTCTCAATACCTTCTTGTCCCCCGGCCAACTTTCGTTATCTTCTGAGCTCAGTTAACCGGCTTGCAGGTGACGCTGGCGTGTGGCTCATGGCCTTCTTCTAAATCTTCTCCTTACTTCCTTTTGGCCGTCTTCCGTCTTCTCGTTGCAGGCCCATGGGGATATCTGCGCGTGAGCACCTGGAATACGAAAAGCGGGCGTAGGAACAGCAGCGTATATAAGCGCGAAGCAACAGGAAACAAGTAAGCCTTCTTTGGTCCCGCAGAGTGTGAAGTATGGTCATGCTCATATAAATGTATTGATCTGCCCCTAATAAGGTAAGGCACCTCGGGTTTAATTTACTTCAACTACCAGCATCCAAAGTACTCACTACTTCTCGTTTCGTGACGCCAAGGAAGTCGTGAAAGCGGCCCACTTCATTCTCACAAAGTTGGACGCATACCACAAACCTGCAAAAAGAGAGACTCGCCCGTTGATGCGCCGAGGGGGAATCGAACCCCCGGCTCCCCGACGCTGCTGGATGGCAACGGAGAATTTTACCACTAAACCATCGGCGCGATTCGCTCTACCGAGTCTCTTGTGGATGCGTGTTTGCGAGGCCAGGGCAGAATGATGTTGGGGCTTGTGGATGTATTTCGACGAGAAACCAGACGTCAAAAGGCAATTTTGCATTTTCGTGAGTCGCGCGAGTCTCCGCCGGGTCCGCCGGACCCCACCATGCCCACCAGGAAGGTGGGGTCGTCACGGACCTGTAGTTCAACCCTGTAGAGCCCGCTTCGGCGTTTGTGGGTCACGTTCCACCCGGGGCGCTGCAACACTAACACAACCTCAATTGGTGCTCCGACTGTGCATGACTTTAATCTGACATACTCCGTCCGACGAGGTATCAACGCGCCACCATTTCGACGTGACCATTATGTTACTTGAGACATGCCCAGTTCCCAGTGCCTAGTTTTACAGCTGGATATGCAATCTGTTTTTTTTTTTTTTTTTCATAGCGTTTCGAGTGATCATGCCATCAAATCACCATTCACTCCGCCAGCTCTAGAAAGCTTCGCCTCAGCCTCATCTCGATGCGTCGGTGGTCGTGGGGGAGAGTGGGTTACACGATGAGATCTTTCGCCTCGATCCCGCCGCTGTCCGGTAATTTGGGTCGAGTCCCATAACACAAGGCTCCTCGCGCATGCATATATTGAGGCTCGGCGGGAACTAAAGTCATGCTTCATCTCCCGTCGCGTCCCCTCATCGACGACCATCATTTTTACACTTGTCGCCATTCGGCCCATCGTACCTGCCAGACACCCGTGATAGAGTCAGGTCTGTGTCCTGTGTGTCATAAATACCTTCCCCAAGATACTCGCCCATGGTGTAGAGAAGAGTTCTCACTCGTGTCGCGTGGACCACGTAATCCTAAAGTGAAAGTGAAGGCCAACAAATTAGACGTGTCGTAGGTCGCTGTGCTCCGTCGCCAAGCTCAATCTTCAGTAAAAGGCTTGCATCCCCATTGTCACATCTCACATGCATCACTTGGGCTCGTGTCAATGTTTTTGCTCAGGCGAACATGTCTTTTATTCGCATTTCTTCAAAGTCCATCTGGTATGGCGATTCCAAGCCGTCCCATGTAGTCCACTGGGGTTTCCTCAATCCAGCACTCCTTTCTAAACCCCTCGTCTATCCCAAGCCGGAACCCGAAAAAAACAGAAAGCCCAAGAAGACCCGCCAAGAAGAGAAGACTGTCCAACCCCAAGAGTGTCGAGTGTGCCCAGTGTCCATGTATGTAGTGCTTCCTTAGAAGCCAAGGCCGTGCATGATGTCAGTCAGGCCGTTGTAGGTCTCCATGCTGGCTCTAGCCTGCATATCGAGAAGCTGGGTGATGGTGGTCAACTGCTCCGAGATGTCAGCGGCCACAGTGCCACCATTGTCGGAGCTGTCCTCCTCAGAGCCCTGCTGGCCAGGGCTTGTGGTGCCAGTGGTGCTCTTCTGAGCAGTGGCAGTCGAGGCATTGGCCTGCTCGACGCTCCGGAGGAACGCCTTGTCATGGTAGCGCTCGGCAAAGCGCTTGACAGGCTGGCCCATGTACTCAATATTGCGTGCAGTACTATTATTCATCGTTAGTATATATTCCTTCCCCGGGGATACGGCTTCACATGTGAAGCCGCATGAGAAAATGAAGGGTGAGTAAGAATGAGGTCAACCATAGATCCTTCCCTAGGGATGCGGTTTCACACGTGAAGCCGCATGAGAAAATGGAGGGTAAGAGGGATAAGCAAAACGAGGGAAATTGCAGACCGTGAGAGAGCCACGGCTGAAGGATAAGAATGGTAAGCAAAAATGAGGGAAAACTGCAGACTGTGAGAGAGCTATAGCTGATAAAAACCAAAGAACTGGAGTAGTGAACAGAAACGAGAGGAAGTATAGATAACAAGAGAATGCGGTTTCATTCATAAAGCCGCATGAGAAAATGAAGAACAAGAGCAGTAAGCAGAAATGACAGGAATTGAAAACAATGAAAAGGGCAAAATTGACAAAAGGCAAGATGATGATACAACAAACAGCACTGCTTACCGGTTCGCAACGAGCTTGTTGAGGGCGTCAGACAGCATCTTGACCTTGGCATCACGGTCGCGCTCGTAGATGTAGTCGGAAATGCTGGCACGCTTGATGCAGGTGGTGCGGAAGGCGCGGTACTCGGAGAAGACCTTGGACTTGAGGGCTCTCTGCTCGGGAGTCTGGTTGGCGAGGTAGGTTCGAGTGCGCTGGGTGTTGGGGTTGGTCGAGTACTCGCCTCCCTTGCGGCGCGCGTCACCGTTTTCACCAGCCATTGTGAATGTCGGTATTGGGTGGTTTGATTGATTGAAGGGGATCGTTGGTGATTTTTTATTGTTTGGGGTCCGAGAAGTGAGGGATTCTCGAAGATGGGTTGTTATGTGGGTGAAGAAGTGGAAGTGGTGGGTGGAGGAGAGAAGAAGGGAATAAATAAGTTGACCGGCAGGCGGAATAAATCTGGCGGGTCACTCAGGCAGTGAGCGAGAAATTCAAAAGGAAAGTGCAGAAGGAAGTAGAAGGAAGGAGAGATCGACTGCCAGAAGAGGGAATAAAAGGGTGGGATGTGAATAGTTGCACGTGTGTGGGCGGTGAGTGAAGCCTCAAGATGTTGTTTTTCGCTACATAGGAAAAAGCTGGTCATGTGATTGTAATATTCTCAAAGAAAGTCCTCCTGAAAAATGATCGACTCCTTCCTTCCAATATAGCCCTAAATACGGCAGGTATCTTGCGATTCCCAGGCCATCTGAAGCTATGAGGTCGTCACTTGGGCCACTCAGGGCGCAGTGAGTGCCAAAACCAAAGAGCCAGGCTCAACAAGGCGTCCCTACAACCATTGGAATTATCTCAAGAGATATTGTTGAATAGATCATTACAGCAATGTAGATGAGGCTACCTGCCAGATGGATATTAGCATCATTTGGTTGAGCCTCTACCGATTTCATGAAGCAGCCCATCATTACTGAGCGATATACTTTTCTGAGGATGGCGAGACCTTGGCCTCTTTCCACTCATAGAACCAAATTGATGTTCCAATACTTGGAGTCTAGTTATGAGCTGCTTCTGAATCTCATCGCTCATGTGAATTAGTGTTCATAAGACCACATTCTGACGATGTCAACAATGCCATTCAAGCTGGCCTCCTACTACCCTTTTGTATCAAAGTCCTTATATACGTAGAGGAATCTACTCCGTTTTAAAGGTAATTATCCTAGAGATAATAGCGGTAGAACTGCTTGTCGCATGTGTCGAACGGAAATCGATATTGTCACCCACTTGTCTGCGCTTCTGACCGATGCCCGTCCAATTTTTCCACACCAAAAGCGAAGTATCGCCTTGAGGGAATTTGACATATTTCTCTCACAGCTTGTCTAGGATATGCTGACTTTTTCTCAAGAGTGATAGGAGCACGCAAGAATTTGGAGTCGTCTATCGATAAATCAACTTCGGTTTGTAGGATCGCCTCGTTTCAGCAGACCGACAGACGGCAGAGTGCTTCCTCGCGAGGAGACTGAATCTTCACAGACAGGACGTAATCATCACATCAGATCGCCCAAATACTACGAGCCCATTGAGAGCTCCTCTAGTCCCTTTCATTCTTCTTCAGAGTCATGAGCGACTCTCTAAGACAGCCTCTAGAAATCCAACTCTCCATCGCCACGCCTAACAATCCCGAACCAAGTCACGCGCCATGAGAACGCCCTCCAAACACACACTCTAACCCAGACCCGAAAACCTCCCTCCATCCTCACCACCCAAGAACCCACCTCAACCCGCAAACCATCTCCTCCTCCGCCTCAACAGCCCTCGCCAACCAAGGCGCCTTCAACCAAAACGTATGAGGCCACCCCCTCACGACCTCAACCCTCACCTCGACACCCGCACCCGCAAGCGCCATCGCATAACAAACACCGTCAGAGTACAGCGTATCATTACTACAAACCTGCACCCACGTCCTCGGCAGCGCAGCCAGCGTCTCCGCCCCGGCCTCAAGCGGCATCCTCTCCAGCCCGTCGCGCGGGACAGCGCGCGAGAAGACGCCCAGCAGACTCGTGACGAAGGACGGCGAGGTGGAGGAGGTATACGCGTGTCGTAAGGAAGGAGGCACATAGTCCAGAGAGCTCCCGCCGTCGCTGGTGACTGGGCAGCGCAAGAGGACGCCGTGGAGGGAACCGCGGGGCGCGGCTTGCGAGACGGCGGTGGCGAGCTGGCCGCCGCTGGAGGAGCCGACGATGATGAGTTTGGTTGTGGGGAACGGGTGGAGGGAGCGGATGTGGTGGAAGGCGTCGAGAGAGTCGGAGACGCAGGTTGAGGCCGGGGACGAGGGCATGAGTCTGTATCCTACCGAGTACACCGTCGCGGCCCTCAAGTCCTTGGCGATGCGTCTGCATGATAGCTCTTCGCTGTCTGCCTCGCCGACGTAGAGGCCGCCACCGTGGTAGTAAATTACGACGATCTCGTCGCCGGTGGGCTTATTATCGGTGTCGTCGGAGAAGCGAAGGATCGGGATGGCGAATTGGTCTAGACTCGAGGGGGTCGTGAGTGGCTGTGTTGTGATGCTCGATAGATGGTGGTATGGTGCGCCGGGGGCGAGCATGCGGGCGTTGAGCTGTCTGCATTCTTCTGCGTAGACAGGCTGGCGGTCGAGGGGTGATGCGTACGTCTTCTTTGGGCCTTTGGCTTTTACTTCTTCCTCGTACGCTAGCCAGGCGGGATCTAAGTGAGGTGCCTCTTTGAGGATGAGATGGTTTAGTGAGGTCATGTTGAGTGAGTGAGATGTATATGATCAAATAAGGACAGAAGGATTGGATCGATCAGATGTGATAATTCGATAACGAGAGTCTTAAGAGCGAAGGTCACTACATTTGTACGCGGCTTTGGTGTTGAAATGCTCTGTGAGATGAGGTTAGACTCAAGGTCCGATAGTGGGGAAGTCGGGGCTTCCGGGCTGTTGTTGTCGCGACGAGATCCCGTTTATCCGGCCGTAGTTCCGGGGAGCCGGGCAGGTCGGGTGTGAGCTCAACCTCGAGAACCAAACCATGACATGTCAAAATCTCGATACTCACCGCGTGCTTATGAAGTGAACGAAGTCACAGCATATTGCTTGACGAGCCGTGCGGACGGTCACGCTGTTGGGCTTGGCGGCTCGGTGAAGGGCCACCACTGCGGTTAGCGCCGAGGAGACAAACTCCGAACCGGAAAAATTCAACCGAACATCACCATCCTTCAAACCGACTCTGCAGAGTTGGCCGCGCAGAATGAATGAGTACATCATAAGATGGGCAGAGCGCTTGGTACAGCAGGTCGATATTAATGTCCACTGGGTTGATTCCCTCCCCTCGGACCGATCGCCTATCTACAATGCTAGAGTACACAAAGGGAATCGAAGAACGAACGCGTCTATAGCACGGAAAGATCGCCGAACTTCTCCTGTAGAGGGTATTAGTATGCCGAATCATATCGGGGTGGTGTTTTGACCGTACCTTGTATCCCGGAACGGTCCAGCGGCCCTTGGAGACGAGCTGGGAGGTCTTCTCGTCGATTGAGGGCTCGGCGGCGGCGACATCGTCCTGTAGTCATAATAAGCATCCCGCCATCCGCGTTCTCCACGTATTCCGGCGGTACGTACGACAGTGAGGTCCTCGAAGGGGCGAGCGGACTCGATGTTGGTCAGGGTCTTCTCGAGGTCCTTGAGCTCGAGGTCGACCTTCTGCTTGGTGGCCTCGGCGTTCTTGACGGCCTCGACCTCAAAGGCCTCGATGGCCTTGATCTGGCGGGAGACATCGTAGGTGGCGGGCTTGAAGGCGGAGAAGCGCTTCTCGATCTCGTCGACGACGGCCTGGTTCTTGAGGACGGAACGGTACTGAGCGAAGTCGACGGTCGTGGGGAGCTCCGACAGCTGCTGGACCCTGCGGCGGGCGTTCTCGTTGCGCTGCTTGAAAGCCTGGAGGGAGGCGGCGGTCTGGCCCTTGAGGCCGAGGGAGGTGGTGACCTTGGCCCAGTCGAGCTTGAGAGCTGCGCTTCGCTATTGCAGGACAAGGAGAGAAATTAGCTCAGGTGCTCCAGCTTTAAGGGAGCGGATGCGCGAGTGCGCGACCCAATTGGCGACATCGGCGGCAATTGCATCAATCGGCGACGAGAGACGAGCGGATTGCGATGGGATACACGTACTGCGGCCATTTTGGAGGATTTGTTGAGGGTTCGGCGGAGTGGAGAGGGAGTTGCGTCGTCGTGAGGTTGATGATTGACTTTGCCGACCGGAGAGCAGAGAAAGAGCCGGGATGAACTGTGTCACGGGGATAGTCACGTGATACTTCTCCGGCCGAATGAACTGGGGTGTGGTTGGCTGCACGGGAACGAACGGTTCAATGGTGGGGCAGAGCTCCCGGCTTTTGCGAATTCGGTCTGAGCCAATTCCCGCCAGATCGAGGGGTAGCTGTATGTAAATTCAACCAGACGAGGCTGGTCTATAAAGGCAGGTATTTCGGTCAGGAGTCGCCAATCACACATCACGTATGTCATAAGAGCAGTGTCCAGAGTGCAAGAAAGCGCCGATTATCATGACCTCTCATTGCGAAAGAGACTTTTCGGAGTCAACTCCCTGGGAATTGTACATGCCAACCCGTTCCGTCCTTTTTGCTGTGTCGAGATTTTGAGAAACTACCTTTGACCGGGGCCGCCGCTAAATACTCAATGCCATAATAGAGTTGACGATATCGTTGTCGTTCTCCTTCAGAGCCTTGATAGCCTTCTTCCGGCTAACGTTGGCCTGGGTCATGACGAGCTCAATGTCCTTGTCCTCGATGCCCTCGGCATCAACCTCCTCACCATCGTCCTCCTCCTCGTCCTTCTTGGCCTCGGCGTCAGCCTCGACGGCCTTGCCGTGGCTGGAGTGGTCGTGGCCGGCGTGGTCGTGCTCACCACCAGCAGCGGCGAGCTGCTGGGCGGCGGCCTGCTGAGCAGTAGCGTTGAGGTCCTCGATCTTGGCCTCACCGAAGACGCTTGAATGCACATATCAGTTTCCACACATCGCATGATCCATGGTGCAGTATGCTACTTACATGTAGGTGTTGCTGTTGGGGGACTTGTAAACCTCGGGGCTGTTGATGACGAAGAGGATCTGGAACGTGGGTCAGCCTTGTTCAGTATGCCCCCCGCATTGCGCCGTGCGTGCCACCACCACCACCACCAACAGTCACACCATATCATGCCAGGAAACTCACGTTCTTGGGGCGGCGGAGAGTGACGCGGGTGATGCCCTGCACTCTGGTCAGGTGCAGCTTCTCGAGAGCCTTGCGGGCCTTCTTCTCGTTGCGGGAGTGGATGACGGCGGTGGAGCCGGAGGGAAGGCCCTCGGCATCCTCGCCCTCAATCTCGGAGTCGGAGCTCTCGTCCTCGTGCTCCTCGACGGAGACCTTCTTGGTCTCGTCATCGGGAAGCTCTTCAACGCGGGGGTTGGCCATTTTGTCGACTGCTGAACCGAGGGAAGAAAAAAATTGTTAGCTGCGGGGTGCTTCTGGTGTGGTGGTGGTAGTGGTGGGAGCTAGGATCGCGCGCAGAGCTGATTTGGCGAGCTCGGATTTGGGTGTCTGTGGGAAGGGGAAATTGCCAACTTTTCGCACAAAAATTCGTCGGTGCAGTCGCGGGTTCGTTGATCGGGCAATGGCGTCAAAAATTCGACAGAGGGACAGCAACACTTACCAAAGACTAGAACGAGGGATCCTTAACTCGGCGTGGGGGATTATGTTCGGTGGCTTTGTGGTTTGTAGGAAAGATCGCAGAGAAATTCTAGGGTTAGCAGCACCTACTGTGTTAAAGTGGATTAGGTAAGCAGATGACAACCGCCTGCGAGTCTGCCAACGCTCCCGACCTGAGTGGCACCCCCCCCAGTTCAGGTCCCCCGGATGGGACGCGGTGCACGCCGGGCATTCTGAGCCACGGCCGCCGCCTCCTCAAGCAAATGGATGACATTCTGCCCGTCATTTCTACAAGGCTGAGGCAGAGCCTGGCCGTACATGGACTTACTACGAAATCTGGGCTTAACCGGGATGGATCTAAAACGGCATTTCGAGAACCGACTCCTGGCCATGGCATTCACGTCAAGAATAGGCTCGTCATGAAGATTTACAGAGTCTCAAAAGGAAAACCGAAAAAAAAAAGTCTTTACTCCGTGTCCCCGTCACGAGCCAACCAATCTATTTTTCTGATTGTGCCATGAATTCATTTTTGTCTCTGAATTTCCGTATTTGACGCCGGTCATCATATGATTGATGATGAATGTGACATACAGCCCTTCCAGTTACGGAGCAAAAGAGATGTGCAGCAACCCAATGCTGCGGTAATGCAGACCAAACCGGATCCCATGCTGTCACGCTCTAAACCAGCCCCGTAGTCTTCAAAGTCAACCCCATAGACATCCTAATCGTGAGTCCATTACGCCGAGGCCTTGACCTTGACCAGAGCCTTGCGCTCTTCGAAACGGCGCTGCTTCTTGAGGCGGAGGACCTTGAAGCGGTCGAAGTCGCTGAGGTTCTTTCTCCGCTCGATCTGGGTGCTGCGCTTGAACCAGTTGGTCTCCTTCCACTTCTGGTCGATCTCGGACTTCTCCCAGAACTTCTTGACGGTGCCGGTACGGGCGCCACGGGGCAGGCCGGCGACGACGAGCGAGGAGAGGAGAACGTTGGAGAGAGAGACGGGCTGGCGGGGGACGGCGAGCTTGGCGTCTGAGGAGGGGCCGTCGACCAGAGCCTGCAATTTGATATCATGTTAGTTTTCCAGGTTTCTTATATCGTCCACGGAGCGCGCGCTCGTGCGCCCAATTTCAAAAAGCATTCGAATCGTATCGGGGGAGAGAAGAGGTGCTGTCGTAACGTACGCGCTTGTGGTCGATGATCTCGACGATAGTCGCAAGGCGGCCGGCGTAGGGGCCGTTGCCCTGGATGAGGACGACACGGCCGACCTCGACCAGTCGCCACTTAGAACCCTCGATGGTAGCGTCACCCATTTTGCTGGTCGGTCTGAAGTTGGATCGCGAAGTTAGAATCGGGGTTGCGGATTTCGTGGTGTTGCGTCTTGCTTGTCTTGGAGGGGCGCGTCAAACTTACCAGACGTCGAAGATGTGCTGCTGGTGGTTAGTGGTGGATGGAGTTCGAAGTCACTTCGGCACACTTCTTTTTTTTTCCCTGGGAGGATGGTGCGACTTAGGGCAAGTCAGAAAGCCGCAATGAGACGGATTTGCTGATTAACCGAGCCGAGTCCCTCTCTTCCCAAAACGGCTTAGCTGGGGCGGTCAGTGGCCACTCACCGCGCAGGCTCCACCGACGACAGAACTTTTTTTTCCCATTCGCATAAAGGTGCAGCTTGATGAGCTCTCCCTTTGTTTTGTTGATCCTACCTTATTCTTCATCAGCTTCGAGGTGCTCACAATTTGGCATCTATCGGCGAAGCTGCAACAAAAACAAAAGGTACGTTTGCATCGCCCGACACACCCCGTACTGGAATGATGAGAAAAATTTGCGATTGATTTCTTTCGGTGGCTCTCTTTCGCCGGAGTGGCTATATCGTCTGAATATATGATATTTAATTCTTACATATTCTGACCTCCAAACCCAACAACACGTTTCTGTTCTTTGGAATCCCTGTCGGAATACGTTTGACTAATTCGACGTTCAGGTATGACCAGCAGTATAGACGACCTCATAGCAATTAAAAAAACATCATGCTTCAACATCTACGTTGATGAAACCTCGTGTGTTGCCCATCTTCATCATTAATTGCGTGACCACAATTTTTCAGACTGCCTCACATTCACCTCGGTAACATCACTGGAGAAGTGTTTTGCGTCATGACTTTTGATATTCATCCTATGAATTCATGTATGCTGGTGCTACCCTGCCAACGCCGGACCGAAAATCATATTTGTGCTTCCCATATTTATTTTCCAGCCTTTTGCTTCAGGCGGAGCTCGTCCTCCTCCTGGAGCTGCTTGTCAATCTCGGCGCCCCTAGAAGGCTTGTTGCCGTGCAGCTTGGCCTGATTGTCAATTAGCGCTGGTTCTTGAATGCGCGGAGGGCTCAGGAATGCTACTTACGGGGAGTGTGGCGTCCTCCTTGCCAAGGCGGGTCTCGAGGGACTCTTCCTCATCACCCTCCTTGTTCTTCTTCTCCTCGGCAGCGAGTCTGTTGGCGATGGAACGCTCATCCTCTGATTGACTGTTAACAACTGCCAAATTCCGGCCGCTGTACGGGCAACTTACTGGAGTCTGTCGCCAGGTGAGAGTGCTCCTTGCCCTCGTGGAAACGCTCGGCGTTGTTGGTCTCCTCCTCCTTGGCGTTTCTCTGATCGCCAGCCTCGTAAACGGCGCTGTTGCCAACGTTTGAGTTTCCGGACATGATGATGGTTGTTTTGTGGGTGAAGTGGGAATTTGAGGGTATGTTTACTGCTAAGGAGCCAGGACGATGTGTTGTTTGATGAGTGATTGGTGCTTGAATTGGGAAGGGAGCAGAAAAGGCATGTGTACAGCAGATGAGCTTTCTATTTGAATGGGAAGGAAGCTGTCTTAGCTGCACTTGCGCAACGACCCCCCTTCGGCACATCTACGTCATGACGTCTCCAGCGCCGATTCTCAGCTTAGACAGGCAAAACTCCCTCCTACGTCATGCAATTGTCATTCTCCGCAAAAAAGCCATGACAGATCTGCTCATGCCACATGGAAAATCGGCGATGCACTTGGGGCGGAGAGTAGTTGGCGGCTCTGACTTTGCGGTGCATCTTCGTTGCCAATTTTCAGCCCTGTCTTTGATGCTGAAGCTGAGTGAGCTTGAGTTCAGCCCATCGCCTGCCTCGAGCCTGGCTACCCCTGCTCCACGGTCGACAACGAATGAACGCGAAGGCTCAAGATCGATATCGACCTAGGCACCTTATCTTATCCAGCTGTTGATTCTTTCAGCAAGCCTCTCACAGTAGATTAAAGCGTTGAACGCGAATCTGCCTGGTGCATTGAAATCTTACCCCGCCAGTACCTTCCCTGAGGACCGACCTGTCACTTTCGAGCTTTGCACTGTGCGGCACCCTGATCGCGTGCTGCACATCCTGTGAATCTAGATAGGTAGTGAAATCAATTGCCCTGTTGCTGTGGGAAGGCAACATGACATAGCAGAGGACCCATCGGAGCCGCGCCCCCCATCTGTTTCGTGATGAAAAAAAGCCAAATCGATGCCCAAGAGGCTCCAGGCCCATCCAAATGACAGAGTGAGGGGTCCCAAGATGTGATGCTCCATCGCTGTGCCTCCTGTGGCCGGGCCCAGGTGCATGGGGCCAGGGGTCAAGCGCGGCAGGCCCCGCCAGTGCGCCAATTCGGCATTGGCGTCTAAAACTAAGCCGCCCGGCTAAATGACGTAAACCTGATAGCTCCGGAGCTCCAAAGCTCCACTACCGACTTCATCGCATCACGCTGCACGAAGCAGAGCTCACGCCAGACAAACACACCACCAAAATAGCTCCCCAACGACCTGCCACAATGTTCGGATTCGTAAGGCAGCTCAATCGTACCCGATACAGATCAATTGATTGCTGACACACACTGTAGCGCAAGACCCTCGACATCGTCACTGTCTTCCACAAGGCGAGCTCCCCTGCCTCTGTGAGGGTTGTCAACCTGCTCAAGCAGGTGTCGGCCAACGCCGCCGCCGGCGCGACTGAGGACCAGGCCAGCGACCACAGCGTTCAAACGAGCCCCAAGAAGTCCCGCGCCGATTTTGAGCTCAACATCACCGAAGACCCCCCAACAGCCGACCAGGTCAAGACTATCCTGGAATACGTCGGAAAGAGCAAGATCCCATCAATCATCAAGGGTGCTTCCACTGAGCAGGATGCCCTGAAGAAGTTCCAGCAGAACGCCGAAGTCTTCCAAAGACCCGTGGTATGTGTTTCCTTCCAGAGCTCGTGGTCCTCTTCAAACGTGTGCTTCTTCAAGAACAAACCTGGCTGACTGAGACATGCAGACTGTGGACTGGAACAATGGCAAAGCTGTCTCCGGTGAGAGTGAATCTGAGATTCTCAAGATGCTTAACGCCTTGAGCAATGAGAAGAGCTGAAAGAAGAACGCTTTCTTCAGATGTTTCAAAGCAGCTCCTTTGTCCTTGTTATCCAGATACCTGCGTCCTCCTTCCCCCAGTGGTACATTAGCTGAATGATGAATATACTCTTCTCTCTTCTATATCGTCTAGAGTCACGTCCAATGCTTCCATAAAGCTCAATTTAGCTCGTAGCTATCTCTATAGGCTGCCGTCAACTCGTTGATAGCCATCGGAAGAGGCTCCAAGTCGAGTTCTGATGAGTCCTATGTTCCTGCAATAGTGCTTGTCCACCCTAGGTAATGAGCAAAGCCTCACCTCATATGCAAGCATTGCTACCTCAATTTTCCAGGACCAACGATATGCCATTTTATTACTGATCCTCAATGAGGGTGTGCTACATCAACTACATTGATTCGTTATCGGGAACAGGTGAGCAAGACTTATTTGTCTCCATGGACATCACGATGAGAGACCTGATGACCTTGGAAAAGATAACAGACGGTTGAAAGAAGAGAACACTGGCTCTTGTCATGTCAAGCTCCTGTGAAAGAAGGGAAAGAAGACCCCGGCTACCCACCTATACAGCAAATCGCATCTACACATCAAGTAGGAGCCATCGCAACAAAAGGAAGACCCAGTAGGCTCATGCGGTTACCATGTAAGAGCCATATCTGGTGTCCTTACTGTAAATGTAGCTACCGAGAACCATGTTGCTGCCTGAGTCCTGCATCCTACACCTCACCGGTCTAAGAGGTGTCACTGTGAAGGTCTGAATATTGCGTTCTTCCGGTTGATGCTACTGCTGCACTCATCTACAGGCAGGTGCACCCGCCCATGGCTCCTTCCCAACAAACATCTTTTACACCTGCCCCCTTCCTTCCCACCTCACTCCAGCTTCTAATTTTTCACTTGCCTTGTGAGTGTTGTCCTTCTCTCTCTCTCCTCGTCCCAAAAACAACAACACCACCCACTCCATCGCTTCTTCTCCCTTCCCACCACTAAATCAATTCCTCTCCTACTCCAAAATCGCCACCAGAAATATTCTCATTTTCTCTACCTCCATTGCCTCCGAGCCCATCACCGCAAGCCTATCATCCCGTTGCCAAACGACGTTGGATATACGCAGCTTTGCAGTATGGCTTCCAACATCCATGGAGGTTCTGGCTCCTCCCAAGATCAGCGCTTCTCCATGAACAACGGTCACGATGGTCGCGCTACGATGGCAAACTCTATGCCTACCAAGCCCTCCTCTCATTACTATCCAAATGGAATTCCCGACGGCTACAAGATGGTCGGTACCAAGGAGGGAGAGACGCCCAGACTTTACATCGAAGACAATCTTCCGATCGCCTTCTACAATCAGCCTACGAAGGAGATCAAGGCTATTTTTAGCACCAACAACGGCGAGTTTCCAACCCGCGGTCTCAGCCACGTCCTTCCAGCACGCCAGATTGATTTATGGAGCGCTGAAGAGCTCCAGGAGAGGGCCAATGCCATCCGCAAGAAGTATTGGAGCCACATGAAGTCCATGCCGCAGCTGGAGTTCTGGGAAGACCTATATGATTACTTCGACTGCTATGACATCTACTTCCAAGGCGCGATGAACCTTTGGAATCTGATGCTTCATCTCTACCACGAAAATCAATGTCTCGTTCGCAACCTCCATCAAGAAATCGTTGCGGAAGTTGGCCACTGGTGCGACGAATGGGCTGCAAAGAGCGAGAACAAGAAGAAGCTGCTAGACTTCAAAGACTTCCAGGGCGACGTTCTCAATCTTCTGAGCTCAGAGGATCGCGTTGACCTCCAGGGACTGCCTCCCGTGAGCATGGAGCTTGTCCGCAATGCTCTGAGGTTTCGACATGATCAGCTTCTAGGCAAGCCCTGGGCTCAGCCAACCTCGTACCCGCAAAATAGCCTCGGGTACCAGTGGGAAGAAGGTACACTACAACATTGGCTTGGTGAGTTGACTCTGTTACCTGCTGCCTCGTACCCGCAAAATAGCCTCGGGTACCAGTGGGAAGAAGGTACACTACAACATTGGCTTGGTGAGTTGACTCTGTTACCTGCTGAAAGCGACTGACCTAACCTTGTCAGCGGGTCAACCCGTTCAAGATACTCCTAGTGGACTTGCCCCGGCATCGACCGCCCCGAACCTGACCAAGGGCAACCCCGACTCCCCGCTGTCCCAAACGAGTCCGGCTGCCAAAGCCTCTCCTCCAAAGCCATTGATCGTGAGCGGTACATATAGGCACATTCCAATCGACCATCTGCATCACGATGTTGCCACGGCTGTGAATCGCGTCAGCTACCCCGAGGGTACCTCAGCGGACAACCGGCAGACCCTTTCGACAAGTCATGGTCATGGCAACGACGATTCTCGTCAGCTGCCTGGTCATTTGCTCCCCAACGTTGCGCAAACGAATCAAACTTCGATATCCAGAGGCGGAAATGCAGGTCCGGGAGGGTCCGCCTTCTACCCTCATGCGATTAGACATGATGGTCATCCATTCAACACGCCTTTCACCACAGGTCCACATGGTATGCCTCAGCCCTATCTTGGTCCCGTTAGCTCCCCTCATGCTCCCTCTCATGGCCCCCCTCAAGGGCACCCTCAAGGGCACTCTCAAGGGCACTCTTATGGAACCTCTCGTGGACCTCCTCATGGGCCTCCTCATGGACCCATGGAACCTCCTGCTGGTCCTGGAAATCGCCGTTACGGCCAACCTTCGCAGGTCATTCCGTCTCCTCAAAGACCTAATGACAACCGCTTCAACAACGCTGGGCATTCGGCGCACATAACGGGCTCTGTTCCCGTGGGCGGCGCACAGCGTGCCCAATCTGCTGCTTTTCCTGGAGTGGCACCTGAGCCGGTTTCGTTTCAGAGAAACAACGGCAAGCGGAATGCATCAATAGACCCCCATTTTGGCCAAGCAGGCGACCGTGGTTCACAAATGGGTCATCCGCGATTTGAGACAAGATTCAACTCGCGAGCAGTGCCTAACTCGAGCGGCCCATCTCATCATCAGCAGCGCCCCCGTGGCGATTCAAAAGGATGGGAGAAGGTCCACAATGCAGATGACTCGATTCATGGGCCCGTTTTCCGGCGTTCTCCAACCAAGGAGAATCGCGCCCGTGCATTATCCCGTTCTTCCGCGTCTAGGCAAACTTTCACTTGCACAAATCAACATGAAAAGCTTGGCGATAACAAATGGGCTTACGCGCCTTGCGAGTGTCCTTCTTGTGAGGCTCGTGAACGATCTGTCTTCGTTCAGCTCACCTCTCATCTAGCTAGAGATGACCTGTCTGAGAAGGTCCATGCTGTGATGTCTCGGTGGGGAGAGGTTGAGAAAGTCAACAGATTGGCTCTCAAGGACCAGAAAGATTACCCCAACTTCTTTGTCAGGTAAGTGGCAACATTCATACAGGCTAGAAATTCTACTGATATCAGGTGCTCTCGTTCAGATTCAAAGATGGTTCTCGCATCACTGAGATTGCATGCGCAAAGGATGTTGAGTGCCCAGAGCTTCACTGTATGCTCCAGACGCGACCTATTCACCATACGCGTTATGGAAGCTTGATGTATTCCAAAGCCAGCCGGGACGCGAATGAACAGCATAGAATCCCGAACTCGTACGAAGGGTCTCAGCAACCTCGGGCTAGCAGCCAGGCTCCATTCAACCAGAGCCAGTCCCTATCTGCTCGTATGGACTCTCGATCTCAAGCAGTCTCCTTAGAGCAGTACATTATTCCTCGTCCACCAAAATCGCAGGGCAAAGCAGTACATGGTTCTCAGTCCGAAGCGGTACCTGAAACAACTGTTCCACTGCCCACCGCAGACCAAGCCACTCTGTTGCAGGGGAAAACTGAACTGCCCAAAGACGTCAAGCCGACACAAGCCAAAACGACTGTCGATCTAGCCTTGCAACAGTCAAGTGAAGCTGAGTCGCAATCGAAGCCGCCTTCCGAGGAGGTTATTCCCGATGAGGAAAAGCCAACCAAGCATGATAGCCCTCGGATTTCCAACAGTCCATGCAAAGTAATTGTCGTCAACTTGCCGGCGACACCTCAAAAGCTGACGAAGACCTC